TGATCCACGGACATTGACCACAGCTTCAACCCTACGCCTCATACTCATTACAAGTCGTTGAATGCTTCTCTGAGGCAAACGGATCCATTCTTCATGAAGTGCGGCTTTAAGTCCAGCGAGATTTTGAACTGGGGGATCACGATGTCTGATTTTCCGGCCAAGAATGTCCCAGAGATGCTCAATCGGAATAAGATCTGGACTACAGGCCGGCCAAGGAAGAGTGGCAATAGCTTCTTGACGCAAATAAGCCAAAACTGCACGAGATCAGTGTGGTCTAGTATTGTCGTCCATGTAAACACGTTTTGTCTGAAGAGGATGGTTTTCAAAATGAGGGACTACCACTGGACGAAGAACGGCATCTTGGTATTGTTGGCCATTCAGGTTTCCACGAAATGTCACCAGCGGAAGTTTGCAGCCGAAGGAAACACAACCCCATATCATGACAGACCCCCGCCACATGCTAAGGTCTTCTGGATGTTCCTTGGTGCAAAACGAGTGTTACGTTGCCTCCAAACACGTATTCGACCATCAACAGTTCGTAGACGCATTCGAATCTCGTCAGACCAATGGATCCTTCTCCAGTAGTTCCATCGACTACGGGCACGACACCATATCAGACGATTCCGCATGTGCCTCTCAGTCAGTTGAGGACGTTTGACTGGTCTTCTAGCGTTATAACCAGCCGCTCCGAGGCACTGCAGTCTAAAATCTGTTGAAGTGGCAAATGGATTTCGTCTGACTATCCTGAAAAAACGTCTATCCTCTCTGTTAGAGGTCTTTCTTGGCCTACCAGACCTATGCCTGTCATTGACATCATTGGTTTGACCATGTTTGACAATCAAACGAGTGATAACACTGTGATGACGACCCATTTGTCTTGCAATGGCCCTGCATGACATGCCAGCATTTTTCATGCCTATCACTTGCCATCTTTCAGCGTTCGTTAACTTTCTCCCCACCACGGCTGTTTTTCAACCTCTATTGGAAGGGGAATCCCACACAGGAGCAAAATGCAACCACGTGTCTGAAACTTGAGTTTTACTATTTATAGGGTAAGGGAACTGCAGATACACGTAAAGCACGCTTTCTTTGTTGTATCTTGACAAATTTGGGTTCTTGAAACTATGGAAGCCTAATTCAGTCATACATCATCATATTTCGTATTTCTGATTCCCAAACTTGAAATCAAGAGACTATGAATATGGTGGCGCTTAACTTTTGTGCATGTGTATACATTTCATGAGAAGTAAATATCCATATATAATGGAGTCTCATAACATTATATATTGCATAGCTTGATGAGATGGGTTTAAAACCGCTTCGACATTTCAGTTAAATCAATGTGCGTCATCTTCACGTATGAGAATAGGAAAACGGACGCTGACTGTCCTATATTTGGTAGTGTTAACGGCACCTCTATTTCCACGTGTCTACTTTTTATAACTTACCATGTGACACTAAAAATACCAACAGGCAGTGAGAGCATCCTCCGGATGTTTATCAGTTACATCTATAAATGAACCATTACGGAAGTGCTGATGGACCTAGACCTTGCCTCGAAGATCAAACCAATGGCTGCTTTGGCTTTGACCACCCCCATCGTAACTGGCAAACAAGTCAAATTGGTCAAAACACTGTCTCGCCGTCCAAGTTTGTTTGTTTGTTTGTTTGTTTGTTGTTTAACGCCGCACTCAGCAATATTCCAGTTATATGACGGCGGTCTGTAAATAATCGAGTCTGGATTAGACAATCAAGTGATTGACATCATGAGCATCGATCCACGCAATTGGGATACGATGACGTGCATCAACCACATCAGCGTGCCTGACCACTTGACTCCGTTAGTCACCTCTCACGACAAGCCGCCGCCCGTGGACAGTTTGGGCCAGCTGAAACTTGTTCACCGTATCAAAAGGGGTAGGATGGTGAAACATCGCCTGTACCATCCCCTCTTAATGTTGCTGGAACCATTTCTTTTAATAGTTTGTTTCCATGGCGATCATATTCGAAAACCTAGTTTTGCCTTTTTTCCCCTAAAGTATGCAGATAATTTTGATGAACCATTGTGGCAGGCTAGTTGTTTGTATGTTGTTGTTTAATCATATTCCCGAAACAAAGGAGTTAACTGACTATAAAAAATCCACACTGGGCTTTTACAGATTACTCCCTAGCATCGGGAAGATGTTGTTTAACGCCGCATTTAGCAATATTCCAGGTACATCGAGTATGGGCCAGACGAGCCAGTAGCTGGCATGAGCATCGATCTACGATACAATGACATGCACCAAACCAAGTCACCGAGCCTGACCACCTGATCTTGTTAGTCGCCTCTTACGACAAGCATGGATTGCTGAGATCAGTTCCATAACCTGGATCTTGACGGATCGGCAGGCGAGTGTGCCGTGGTTCTAAGATATGTATTCTGCTCTTAATATTGCACAAACTTTGATTGTTCTTGCACATGACAGAAGTTTCACTTCGGTGACAACATGTACATTTCATAAAAAGTAAATATCCATATATAATGGATTCTTGTAACAGTATTTATTGCATAGCTTGATGAGATGAGTTTGAAACCGCTTTGAAAAGTTCAGTTATATCAACGTCTGACACGTATGAAAATAGAAAAACGGACGCTGACTGTCCTATATTTGGTAGTGTTAACGGCACCTCTATTTCCACGTGTCTACTTTTTATAACTTACCATGTGACACTAAAAATACCAACAGGCAGTGAGAGCATCCTCCGAATGTTTGTCAGTTACATCTATAAATGAACCATTACGGAAGTGCTGATGGACCTAGACCTTGCCTCGAAGATCAAACCAATGGCTGCTATGGCTTTGACCACCCCCGTCGTAACTGGAAAACAAGTCAAATTGGTCAAAACTGTCTCGCCGTCCATGTTTGTTTGTTTGTTGTTTGTTGTTTAACGCCGCACTCAGCAATATTCCAGTTAATTGACGGCGGTCTGTAAATAATCGAGTCTGGATTAGACAATCCAGTGATTGACATCATGAGCATCGATCCACGCAATTGGGATACGATGACGTGCATCAACCACGTCAGCGTGCCTGACCACTTGACTCCGTTAGTCACCTCTCACGACAAGCCGCCGTCCGTGGACAGTTTGGGCCAGATGAAACTTGTTCACCGTGTCAAAAGGGGTAGGATGGTGAAACATCGCCTGTACCATCCCCTCTTAATGTTGCTGGAACCATTTCTTTTAATAGTTTGTTTCCATGGCAATCATATTCGAAAACCTAGTTTTGCTTTTTTCCCCCTAAAGTATGCAGATTGTTTTGATGAACCATTGTGGCAGGCTAGTTGTTTGTTTGTTGTTGTTTAATCATATTCCCGAAACAAAGGAGTTAACTGACTATAAAAAATCCACACTGGGCTTTTACAGTTTACTCCCTAGCATCGGGAAGATGTTGTTTAACGCCGCATTTAGCAATATTCCAGGTATATCGAGTACGGGCCAGACAAGCCAGTAGCTGGCATGAGCATCGATCTATGATACAATGACATGCACCAAACCAAGTCACCGAGCCTGACCACCTGATCTTGTTGGTCGCCTCTTACGACAAGCATGGATTGCTGAGATCAGTTCCATAACCTGGATCTTGACGGATCGGCAGGCGAGTGTGCCGTGGTTCTAAGACATGTATTCTGCTCTTAATATTGCACAATCTTTGATTGATCTTGCACATGAAAGAAGTTTCACTTCGGTGACAACATGTACATTTCATAAAAAGTAAATATCCATATATAATGGATTCTCGTAACAGTATTTATTGCATAGCTTGATGAGATGAGTTTGAAACCGCTTTGAAAAGTTGAGTTATATCAACGTCCGACACGTATGAAAATAGAACAAGTATTTGTCACAGAGTGACGAAATATCCCCCGCCTGTACACCATACTACCAAATATGAAGACAATCCAGCGATTAGTTCTTGAGATATTGTGGCAACACCGTTTTCCAACTCCAAAAACAGATTTGCCTGCTGTGACCTTGAAAATGGGGACAAGGTCACCAAAACCGACTGGTGTCTGCGGAGTCTGTATATACACCATAGTTCCAAATATGAAGACAATCCAGTGTTTAGTTCTTGAGATATCGCGGCAACACCGTCTTCCAACTCCAAAAGCAGATATGCCTGCTGTGACCTTGAAAATGGGGTCAAGGTCACCAAAACCGACTGGTGTCTGCGGAGTCTGTATATACACCATAGTTCCAAATATGAAGACAATCCAGTGTTTAGTTCTTGAGATAACGCGGCAACAAACAGGTGGGACGGACGGACGGACGTACGGACGGTCGTGAATACTATATCCCCCGCTTCGCGCTTTCGCGCAGCTGGGGGATAAAAACGGACGCTGACTGTCCTATATTTGGTAGTGTTAACGGCACCTCTATTTCCACGTGTCTACTTTTTATAAGTTATGGCATGTGACACTAAAAATACCAACAGGCGGTGAGAGCATCCTCCGAATGTTTATTAGTGACATCTATAAATGAACCATTACGGAAGTGCTGATGAACCTTGTCTTTGCCTCCAATGGCTGCTTTGGCTATGACCAGCCCCGTCGTAACTGGCAAACAAGTCAAATTGGTCAAAACTCTGTCTCGCCGTCCATGTTTGTTTGTTTGTTGTTTAACACCGCACTCAATATTCCAGCTTTATGACGGCGGTCTGTAAATAATCGAGTCTGGACCAGACAACCCAGTGATTGACAACATGAACATCGATCCATGCAATTGGGATTGAAGACATGCATCAACCAAGTCAGCAAGTCAGTCAGTCGCCTCTTAAGACAAACACAGTCGCCTTTTACAGCAAGCATGGGTTGCTACCCCCGAATCTTCACGGGGAAGTTGGGATGTTTCCACATTGATGGCTTGATGAAATATGCATAACCAGATTTAGTTGTTGCTTTTACAAACGACAAGGGAATGAATGGGCGTGGGCTTTCTAATGAACAAAACAGTGTTGGTCATATTTGTGGTGGCATGTTTATTTCAAATCATCAATGAATATGAAATATACACTACAAAAAGCAATAAGCAATCATGGCCCCTAATTATTGCTGCTCGAGTTTGTTTAGATAAGTGCCGGTGTTTGAGCCACTCAATTTCCTTAAAGGCAGGGCTAATGTTTTTGTGTAATACTGTCAAACCTATCCACAATTTTGTAAAAGTGAAACAAATATTTAATAAAATGATGTTTGATTGAAGTAAAGCTATTTAAACATTTTGTGCTCTTATATTTCAAACACTTTTTGGGGAAATTATTCTCAAATCAACTCTGATAACATATTTTTGTATTTTGCCTTTGGGTACATTGACCAAGAAAACTTTATAAAACAAAAAAAGTAGTTTGGCCTGGCTTAATGTGTTTATATCACAGCAATAACACAAACCCAGAAATATGAAAACGAATCCTTGGTCAAAATACGATTGAGCTGACAAGCCTCAAATCATTACTACTCAAAAGAACACCTGATTCTTTCATATTAGTACAGTTAATCTACCATACATCAGTGAGTATGGTTTTCGTCGCTTTTAACAATATTCCAGCAATATCACAGGGGGGAGGGGGACACCAGAAATGGGCCTCACACATTGTACCCATGTCGGGTATCGAACCTGGGTATTTGGCGTGACGAGCGAACGCTTTTACCTCTCGGTGTATGAAAGAATCAGGAGTTCCTTAACTTGTTTTGAGTAGTACATAACCATAGACAAACTTCAGGGTATAACCTGCAATATTTCTTGCTATGTACAACTGCTCTACAAAATGTCGCTGACAAGGCTCAAGTCACATTTACCTTACACAACAAACATGATCAATGAAGCTCAGTTCATTGCAAATGGTCTTGTTAGAGCTGTATGACACATGTATATATATTTGACACATGTGATATATTAGTAATCATTTATTTGTGATAAAAAAACATATAAATAAGGACATATTTACATTATCAAATAATACTCCAGATTTGAATACAGGACTATTTATCCTTAAGTCTGAATTTTGTGTTTTCAGCATATTTCAGAAAAAGGTTGCTGGAACAGGTCATCAAGAGCTTTGATATGCACAAGTTGTTTTCAATCACTGTCAGTTTTGTTTGTAAAAATGAAATATAAGTACTTCCCACAATAATACAAAAATGTTTTCAAAGGAATAAACTTTGTACATGTGCTTCACAGACATCCCACAGAAAGCACATGGTAATAGCACATAGATGGGTACCAGCAAGTCCTTAAAACACTTTTTTTCAAGCACATGATCTTAAAAGAGGAAAAATAATCAGGTTTAGCCCATGAAATTATATTGAATGCTTAGCAGGTTAATCCATGTGGCAAATGTCAACTTTGAGATAAAGGTACAAGATTCTATATTAAAGTTTGGACCAAGTCCAAGGTTTGAGATGCGCTTTGTATTCTTATCTCGAATTCGAGTTAAGCTGTCAAGTTTATATACCCATTTATATAGTGAGGCGGTCAGGGCTGGAGAATAGGTTCAAAACATCGCTGCAATCGAGATAAAGTATTTTGAGATAATGGTGTTTGACTGTATTCCACATTATGTACAATATCACTATCAACATTTATATACATGGACAAACAAATTTACACATTTACAAATTACACTTTCTCATAAAGAGAGTATTGTTTGTTTATTTGATGCTTATACGCACTCAGCAATATTCCAGCTATAAGACGACAGTCTGTAAATAATTGAATCTGGACCAGACAATCCAGTGTTTGACATCAAAAGCATCGATCTATAGAATTGGGATAAGATGAAATACATCAACAAAGTCAGTGAGCCTGACCATCCTATCCAGTTGTTGCCTTTTACAAGAATCATGTGTTGCCGAAGACCAACATTAAGTGAGTAATGAACATATGAGTGGAACAAGTTTTACACATACAACACAGAAAAAAATGGATTCCAAAATACCAATAACAGGAATTCTATAAGCTTAAATAAGTGAGTTACAATTGAATACAGCCATGGCATTGTGTCAGCCATGCAGTCTCTTAAACTGAAACACCAATGACAAAGCAAACATCTAATAAATAAGGTAACCATCTGATAGTCATTAACATGTAACTATCTTTACGCATTAATCATTTGGAGTTATGAATTACATCAAATCAAGTTAATGAGAAAAAAGAAGAAATCAAAACAGAAATAAATATACAGAAAATAAATACACACCAGAATTCCAGTTTGTTCTTGTGCTCATGTTCTTTTTGCAGAAAGGAAACATTACCTAAATGTTTTCCTTGAATATTTCTTTCATCACTTTGAGAAACTGATTTAATACTAAACATATGCAGTGATAAAGGTCCCAAACTGTGTACCTTTCTTATAAAAAATGTGCCTGCTGCATATTTAAGATGTAATTTTTATTCACATCAGATGTAGCTAATTGTGACATAGTCCAAAGGCATTGTGTCTAGCCGCGAAGAAGGTCTTCATCGTCACTCTCATCAAAGTCATCCTCGTCAATTTCCCCATCAATTGACGACTTTCTTTTCTTTATCACAGCAATTATGAACCCAAGGACATATATCTGGATAAAGATAAAACAATCATTGCAGATTCATATATTTCTTGCATGGCCATTGAACAGTGCCTTTTCTAGGATTCAGAACTGAGTACCCTTGTCAGATAAATTGGGAATATTGGGTTATTTTGTTCTAAATTGGAACTTTTTTTAGTACAATTTTAACACTGTATTTTAACATGCACCACAGTAATGCAAAAGTGGCACAAAATAAGTATCGTGATAGTATTGTTTTGTCGTACACAAACTCCACAAGAGTAACAACAACACGTCTTGTCTTGACTTCATATACCGGTAGTCAAGTGGCTAGAGGTGCAGCGCAGGCACAATGATGTCATCAGCTTGAGTCATGTGACTTGATAGTCCATAAACACAACAGCGATATGCATCGATATGTGAGATAGATGCATGATGACATCCAGTTGCATACACATATTCTGCAACGCTTTGATATTTTGTCATTTTTGGCAAAACGGCCACAAAAATCAAATTAAGTTGTTCTGGATACTTAGGCATGAGATGATCAAATATCACATGTCGTCATATGGTTTTGAACCTAATTCGATGTGTTTGGAGACGAGCACAAAAACACATCTTTTCTGACTTTGAGTTTAAGTTGATTATGCATTTTCATTGTGTTTCAACAGTGTTTAAAATTCTGCAATGTTTCAGTCAGACAACAATTGCAACGTTACCAGACCAGATAAAATGTTGCCAGTCCAGAACTTTCTGGATTAACGAATAAAAGGGTTAACATAAGAATTGTATGAGGACAGAAACTTGATATCAACATAAGTGGAAGTGACTGAATAATGTGCTTAATGTTTACAGTTAATTTAACCTTTACATTGAATTAAAACTACAATTCTTAGGTAACCAAGGGAAAACAATAGTACCTCGACCATTGTGTGTACAACTTTTCAAATTAGACTGTCTGGGACAGTCAGGGAGGTGCTACTTTAAACTCTTGTTTCAGTATAGTTACTGTGCACTGCGCACTGCTCTGTGTATACTGACCCCAAGGAAGACCCAGGTGCCCCAGTAGTAGGCTGCTCCAAAGAATTAGACTGTCTGGGACAGTCAGGGAGGTGCTACTTTAAACTCTTGTTTGAGTATAGTTACTGTGCCTTGTGCACTGCTCTGTGTATACTGACCCCAAGGAAGACCCAGGTGCCCCAGTAGTAGGCTGCTCCAAAGAATTAGACTGTCTGGGACAGTCAGGGAGGTGCTACTTTAAACTCTTGTTTGAGTATAGTTACTGTGCCTTGTGCACTGCTCTGTGTATACTGACCCCAAGGAAGACCCAGGTGCCCCAGTAGTAGGCTGCTCCAAAGAATTAGACTGTCTGGGACAGTCAGGGAGGTGCTACTTTAAACTCTTGTTTGAGTATAGTTACTGTGCCTTGTGCACTGCTCTGTGTATACTGACCCCAAGGAAGACCCAGGTGCCCCAGTAGTAGGCTGCGCCAAAGAACCACATCTTGTAGAAGAACCGCGTCAGAAGCAGCGCCATCCTTGTCACCACACAGTCCTCTGAAGAACCACAAGCACATGCTGTCATGTTACAACTCTCTGAATAGAAGGTGACAGAATCATTCTCTAGATTTTTATGATTGTTGAAAGAGGCAAATAGAAAGGAGATTTGATGGTCAAAATGTCTGAATATTACTATGAGGGTGGCCACCATGAAGTCTAAGTCTTAACTGCAACCTGAGCAAATGTACATTGTTGCTCACACTATCTACTACTTGTTTGCCACACGCTCTTCTATCAGCCATCGTCAGCATCATATCCTTGCTCATAGGTTTCGACAAAGTGGTAAACATCTGAGACCTGCATCACTTCAGGCTTTCCTCACACATCAAGCTGACACGCCGTGATACAACTGGAATACTGTATAAAGCACCATTTAAACCAAAGTCACTCACTCACCCCTATCAGCCATCACACTCACCTGCCACCTCCGTTGTGCACTGATGCAGTGGAACAGATGTCGTGTTTGATGCTCCAGTCATGTTGCCCTTCAAACAGAAAGCAGTATTAATAAGTCTATTCAAACATGAATACACTTTATACCCCCTCAAATATTAATCATTGAAACTATCTTACTCCAAGAAAGCTGGTTGTTACATGAACGTATCACTCATTGTCTTCAGCCTAGGGGATGGTAAGAAGGCAGGAAGCGAACTCCTAAACCAGAGGTGACTATACCTTCTCTTAAGCTCTGACTGGGCTGAATCTTCTAAGGACATCCTCTGGATGTTACGTCAACTATAATATCCATGCTTGGTTGGTTGGTTTCTTGTTTAACGCCGTGTGATTAATGTCATGAGCATTGATCCACACAATTAGGATCGATGACAGGCATCAACCAAGTCAGCGAGCCTGACCGCCGTTAGTTGCCTCTTACGACAAGCATATAGTCGCCTTTTACAACAAGCATGGGTTGCTGAAGACCTATTCTACCTCAGATCTTCACGGGTCTAATATCCATGCAATTTAACTTTGTATTAACTGTTCTTAAGATAATATAGTATTGAAATAGTTACAAAAAGAGTGAAGCTGTTGGAACAGTGGAATAGCTATTGTAATAGAATTGTGTTTGTAAGATGAGTACCTTTTATTTCTCATAATACAGAATACTGGCATTATTCAACATTACAGAACAGAGGTTGTCAGGTATTATTGCTTTATGTAATTCATGAGTCATTCTAAATTATTATTTGTTTGTTTGCTTTTTAACACTGAATTCAGCAATATTCCTGCTATATCCTGTAAATCATCAAGTATGGACCAGATAATCCTGTGATAGATATTGTGAGCATCGATCCACACTGTCGGGATACCAGGACACACTATCAACCAAGTCACTGAGCCTGACCACCCGATCAATTTGGTCGTCTCTTATGACCAGATGGTTGCTGGGGACCATTCTACCCTGGAATTCCCACAGGGATCTGAATGATTACTCACATGTCTGTTAGATAAGGTATCTTTTGAGTTAATGACTGAAAGGTGAGGTAACATTATTTCAGCTACATTAAGAGCTATCGAGACTGGATCAGAAATTATTTTTTCATATCATGAGTAACAACACATCCAATCAACAGTGACAAACACAGGTTACTGGGAACCAATTCAATTCCAGGGTGGACAACTCTAATGGAGAGTCTCACCGTGTGTGTAACAAAAAACGGACTCACATATTTCTGGCTGCCAAAGGTGGAATATTGTGGCGTGAGTTCGTACACGATGATGTTGATGGCCAACACGATGAACATCAGTATCATGCACAGCATCAGCAGCCCCTGGGGGCGTGTGCGACGGGGACGGATCTTGTACATCTGATACACCAAGACATGCTCGATTATTGGCAACCCTTTAGGAATGTGTAGTTCAGGTACAATTTGAGCCTCATAAGGCCAATATAATTTCTTGTCTTAATCACCCATTTGCTAAACATACCAAAAAAACATGAGGCAAATACGCAATGTTAATATCTTTCTCCACATATTTACATTTTGCTTCCAATTAAAAGAATTTGTTTCTTTTGAGACACAAACATATCTACTTCAATAAAAGGGAATCAACTCACATTACATTGAAAGATAGATGCTCTGTACTTCAGCTCTATAGTAATTCAGCCTTAAATAAACTACTGTAATTTAATGGCTCTGCTTCTGAGTGATCTTTCTTCACATATAGGGAATATGAAGGAAGAAATGCTGACCCTGATCCACAGGAACCAGACGCCGATGTTGCGGATGCCGGACATGGAGCAGAAGACGAAGTACATGATGATGCCAGACATCAAGATGTAGTCCAGAGGGAACACCTGCAGAATAACAACAGCTAGTGTTGGTGACGTCATCTATCACAGACGTATTGATGCTTATGGTAACTGGAATTCTAAGGTCTGGAGTCTGACTGTGAAGTACGTACCATCTGACAGAAGACCAGCACGATGTCTATGGGGTTAGGCAGCTTCCTCTGAGCCAGGGCGTAGCCGATCTTGTACCCTTTACTGTGCATAGCTTTGTCAATACTGTAAAGAACATTGGTCATTGATAAATACATATTTGCCCCATACGAAATAGCACCAAGCACCATGACATTGCTGCTCACCAGGTACATTCAAACTGAGCTGAATGCTGTGCATAGTGAAAGTTTTAGCCAACAAATAAGAGGTGATGTGATTTGAAATAGGTTAAATATCACATTCAAGATTACTGCACTTAAATAGTGACATACATGCACTTGTGTGTGGCTGCTTGTACTAGTCCGGACGGTTTTATAGAGCTAGCCCACTGAGACACCTTGCTCCAGTTAAACATGAATACCCCACTCGGACACATTATCTGATTCCAAACAGTCCTTGTTTTATGCCTATATCACCAAGTGCCAGGCAGGGTAACAATTACAATCTTTTAACGTCTGTGGGTAAGACACAGTGTGAGTAAAAGTTGTGTCTATTACTGAATAAATCGTGTGTCCATTACAAGTAAAAGTTGTGTCCATTATGAGAAAAATGTGTGTCCATTACAAGTAAACCTTGTGTCCATTATGAGTGACACTTGTGTCCATTATGAGTAACACTTGTGTCTATTATGAATAAAGCATGTGTCCTTTATGAGTCAAACTTGTGTCCATTATGAGAAAAAAGTGTATCCATTATAAGTAAAACTTGTGTCCATTAATGAGTAAAACTTGTTTCTATTATGAGTAAACCTTGTGTTCATTACGAGGAACACTTGTGTCCATTATGAGTAACACTTGTGTCTATTATGAATAAAGCATGTGTCCATTATGAGTCAAACTTGTGTCCATTATGAGAAAAAGATGTATCCATTATAAGTAAAACTTGTGTCCATTATGAATAAAGCGTGTGTCCATTACAGTAAAACTTGTGTCCATTATGAGTCAAACTTGTGTCCGTTATGAGTCAACCTTCTGTCCATTATAAGTAAAACTTGTGTCTATTATGAATAATTGTGAGTCCATTATGAGTAAAACTTGTGTCCATTATGAGTCAAACTTGTTTCCATTATGAGAAAAACATGTATCCATTATAAGTAAAACTTGTGTCCATTATGAATAAAGCGTGTGTCCATTACAGTAAAACTTGTGTCCATTATGAGTAAAACTTGTGTCCATTATGAGTCAACCTTCTGTCCATTATAAGTAAAACTTGTGTCTATTATAAATAATTGTGAGTCCATTATGAGTAAAACTTGTGTCCATTATGAGTAACACTTGTGTCTATTATGAATAAAGCATGTGTCCATTATGAGTAACACTTATGTCTATTATGAATAAAGTATGTGTCCATTAGGAGTAAAACCTACTTGGTCAGCAAGAGCGAGATGAAGATGAGCAAGGCCACAAGGAGAAACAAAAAGCCAAAGAGCATCTCAAACGGACGTAGCACCAGCAGACATTTCCGTATACAGCTTCTATCATTGGCTTCCAGGTGGCGCAGCTGTCTTTCCATCAAACGATCCTGCTCATCAGTATTTTGTTGGTCACGGTTGCCAAACCTTTTGCGACTTGAATACTGGAACAAAATTTCATCCATAAACATTTTCCGCATGACACCCCTGGGACGGCCCTGAGACACATGGCTCAAGGTCATCCTGGAAACTGGTACTTAATGGTATTTGTTTGGTTATTGCTTACAGTGCACTCAGCAACATTTCAGTTATATAACAGTGGCCTGTAAATAATCGAATCAGGACCAGACAATCAATCCAGTGATTGACACTGTGAGCAGCGATCCACGACACACTATCAACCAAGTCACCATGCATGAGCTCCTGATACATTTTGTCACCTCTTACAACCAGCATAGGTTTCTGGGTAATGTAGAATCTGAATAACAAGTACATGCAGAATTTTACCAGAAACAAAATGTGGAATCCTATCTTGACAACGGAAAAAATAATTTACATTGCGACTCCTGTGGGAGGTAAACAAAAACTGTAGACTCAAGCTTACATAACAGACATCTCTATTCAGATAAACACTCGAAGTTGAGAGTGCCAGTGGTAGATTTTATTCACTTGAACACTGAAGGCCTCTGAGGATGTGCAATGATCAATCTCATTAAAATTAGATCTTAGTTCTCGTTACCACTACACAAAGATCTGAGGACATCCCATTATGGGTCACGTCAGACCGAACTTGCGCGAACTTTGACCGACCAATGGAATGACCAATCAGAAGGCAGCTTTCTTGTGCTTTACGTCACAAATTTCAAATTGGCGACTACGCTTCGAAACATATTTTGACAAATTCTTGATTAAAAATTTGAAAACTCAACAAAAAAATATTCTGGAATGGCTAATAGATGGTCTAGATTGTATGGATTCGGTCGTCAAACCCGTAACTATCGTTCGGTATGGTAAAGTTTTCGAGATTGCATGATTAAAAATCACATTCCGACTGTCACTTTCATAATTTGGTAAGCGACGCACTGATAGGTCAGATGAAAGGTTGTTCTGACGTGACCCCCAATGGTCTTCAGATCTTTGTTTTGCGGTAGCAAGAAATAAGGTCTGATTTTAATGAGATTGTGCAATGATAGGACATCAATACAATTCATGGAACTCAAGTGAAGCATACCACGTGCTGTCAGTATGGAACCCCTTGGACAAAGATTTCTGATTCCCCTGGGTCCTCTTGCACAAAGCGATCTTAGCGCTACAATTATTGTAAATCCTTAAGATCGCGATCTTAGGCTTACGCTACAATTGTCATCCACTTGCACAAAGCGATTGTAGGTTAAGATCATTGTAAGCTACAATCGAAACTTACAATTGGTCCAGACCAATCTTGTAGTCCCTGACAAAATGGCGTGCAAGACAGGGCCAGTTTCACATTAATAATCTGCTTTACGATCAAACACTGCCTATTTATTTTGTTAGATTTTATGATTCGAATCGACACTTCAACAACACGAAGACCGCACCACAGATTTAACGTCAAAAATATCGTTAATTGCGATAGTGAACCACATAACTATCGAGTCGATAGTTAAAAGTACTATTCCCACCCGTGTCAATGCTGAAAGAAGTCTAAAACAACATACCTTATCAAGGGAAGGATAAAACCTAAGTCGTCTGCAAGCGATTTGTAACGTCCGTGACCTTTAAGATAAATCAAGGGCAGCTAATCATAGTTTATATTCTAGATGGGAGTGGTTTCCCTTTGTATAAGTATCGTAGAATCTTCCTTGCCCAGTTAGTGTATTAATGTTGTAGAACCGCCGAGCTCCCCTTGTATATCTTTTGGGTCACATTCGTGTCAGTTATTTTGTCTTTAGTTTATCATTAAATAATCTACAAGTAAACACAAGTTGAAGTGCAAAATCATACGTTTATATCCAAAATCGAGTGGGACAGTCACGAGCGGTTGTAATATCTGAATTTATAAGAAACTAATACAAATATTCATCAAACAAGCAAATACACATGATGAGACATTTGAAATTTGTGTAAAATATCCCATAAATAGCAAAAGTAAAATTCACACATTTTAAAAAATATAATTAATACCAAATGAATATATATTAAACAACTTCTTTCTTGAAACATTATTCTTATTTCCCGTACATGCATTCTTGAAATCTCCCGTCTTACTGTGTTTTGAAAAGGTTGTCATAACATCCTTTGTAATAGCGGCAAAACTAAAACATGAAGGATATACATGTATTTAGGATTTTACGGAAAGCTCCCCCAAATAGATGACGATCATACATTTACCTGTTATGTTATTTGGACATAGAGATCTATTATTATTTTCTTTTTTTACTTTCAAAATAAGAATGTCACTAAATCTATATGCCAACATTCTAATTATAGTTTCCTTCAAATAGTTGAGACCTTTCAACTGTGCAAGGTGCGTGGAGGGAGGTACGTGTTGTATGTCGTAACCGGTTCTACACGTTGTATGCGCAGCAAGATTTGCGCGTTTGCAGACAACCATAGACAGGAGTCTAGTTTAAGATATTTGTACCTCCACCATTGAAGATTTCAATCTTAGTTAAGATCGCGATCTTAACTCCAAGCCGTCTTACAATCGCGTTAAGATCGGTTTGTGCAAGTGGAATAGGACAATTGTAGGGTGATTGTAAAGTTGATTGTAGCCGCCTAAGATCGATTGTAACTAAGATTGTTCTGTGCAAGTGGGCCCTGGACTTGTAAATAGATCGACCCAGGCAAATTTGTGTTTATGTCTTATTTGTCTGGACCATGTGGACCAACAGAATGACACAGTGTACAATAAGGGAATGTAATGACACACCTTGTCATGATGCAATGTATGTGATGATAGTAAGGTTGCACTATGAAGCATGCTAGAATACAGATTCTATTAAGTGTAAGGATGAGCCAGTTGGTTTCCTGTTAGAGTTTCTGAATGTGGTGCTCTTGCTATAACCTTGGCCAGTACAAATACAGCTGTGTCACTGTGATTACCTTGCTGTGTGGCTGTGATTACCTTGGCCAGTACAAATACAGCTGTGTGGCTGTGATTACCTTGGCCAGTACAAATACAGCTGTGTGGCTGTGATTACCTTGCTGTGTGGCTGTGATTACCTTGGCCAGTACAAATACAGCTGTGTGGCTGTGATTACCTCGGCCAGTACAAATACAACCATGTGGCCTGGATTACCTTGTCCAGTACAAATACAGCTGTGTGGCTGTGATTACCTTGTCCAGTACAAATACAGCTGTGTCACTGTGATTACCTTGTCCAGTACAAATACAGCTGTGTGGCTGTGATTACTTTGGCCACTACAAATACAGCTGTGTGGCTGTGTTTACCTTGTCCAGGACAAATACAGCTGTGTGGCTGTGATTACCTCGGCCAGTACAAATACAGCTGTGTGGCTGTGATTACCTTGCTGTGTGGCTGTGATTACCTTGGCCAGTACAAATACAGCTGTGTGGCTGTGATTACCTTGGCCAGTACAAATACAGCTGTGTGGCTGTGATTACCTCGGCCAGTACAAATACAACCATGTGGCCTGGATTACCTTGTCCAGTACAAATACAGCTGTGTGGCTGTGATTACCTTGTCCAGTACAAATACAGCTGTGTCACTGTGATTACCTTGTCCAGTACAAATACAGCTGTGTGGCTGTGATTACTTTGGCCACTACAAATACAGCCATGTCGATGTGTTTACCTTGTCCTTGATAGCCTGTCGTCTCCCTGCCCTCTCTACCCTTTCCTCTCTCTGACCACGCACTTCCATTTTTTCCTTCCTGGCGCTCAGACGGCCCTTGATGAGGTCAATAGGCATGGCCGACATACCATACGCCTGAAAATTGGAAAAATACAAGTATATTTAATTATCTCTGCATTTGCATCAGTTCAAAGAATCATAATCTCTAGGACAAGTGCCCTCACAGAACATATGAGACAACAAAATAAAGACCTTTATAAGCATGATAAGCGACAAAATGAAATATTTTCTCAGATTTGTTAAATGAGCATGAAGTCTTTAGAATAACTCATATCAGGTATCACTTTCACAAACGAAGTTTCAATCATATCAGTTTAAAATTTGGGTGGAGTATCTGGGATTTGACCCATGATCAGCAAAGCCTGCCTCGACCAAGGGATGGAACTCTGCACAGAGAACAGTAGCAAGGTTTTACCTGGACATACAAAAGTAGGGGACCAAGGGACACCCAATAATTAATTATAAGGGTCCTTGCAGGCAATATGAGGGTCCTGTAAAGTAATGAAATGGTGTCGTGTACTGTACGTTTTCATAACTACTTTAGAGCCTGGAATGAATCAATGATCATGTGGACAGTGATCATGACTGATGGGTTAAATGACAGACACCATTAACTGCTCTTGATGTGCTGCAGGTACAATGAATATTATTGTGCATCCTTCGGGATGCAGTACATTATTTTTCTGCATCCATTCTTAACATTTCTGCATCGCTTAAAACCCTGCAGTAGCATGAAAGATCACAAAGAAGCCAACTCTGCCTCTCTCAAACTTTTGGATATCTGGATTCTATGTGCGTGTTTGTTGCTCTCCAGCGCTGCACTCAGCAATATTCCAGCTATATGACAGCGGCCATTAAATAATGAAGTCTGGACCAGACAATCCAGGGACTTATATTATGAGTAACAATCCATCAATGAGAATGGCATGACATCAACCGAGTCACTGAGCCTGATCACCTGACCAATCCATAAAGTCACCTCTTACGACAAGCATAGGCTGTTGTGGACAAATTCTAACCCAAATGCCCCAAGGGAGCCAACAGGACATACATTTGATGGTTCTCACGACCTTGACTTAACAATCTTGTGATTTCTTTCCACATACCGTATACATGATGAAAGCCATCATCCCCAGCAGGCTCAGCACACTGATGACGAAGGACAGTGAATCTTCCATCCCTGTCAATACACACAATCCGATCACAGTGAGTCATGGAGTCAAGTCTACAGTAAGGGTGCTACAGCCGTATCACAACTGAATACCTAGAATATCAGAATGATTACTAGCCACAAAGCCAAAGAAATGATCTCTACACAGAAGGCCAGGGTTTGATGTATTACATGTGCATATATTTCAGGGATTACCGTATTCGACGTAATAAGTGCCCTGCTCTAATAAGCGCCCAGGGCGATATTTGCTAATATATTGGCTAGTGAACAATCCCAATCAGCACCCCTTCTGATTGATCAATGCACACAAGACTTATTTATTCGTGTATAATATGCAATCGTGTGTTATATGCACCCTTAATTAAATTCTTGAAAAATATATCTTTCGAATGTAAACAGTTCAGGCTGTTAGCATAAACCACAAAATTAACAATCTTTCAAATCAAAATAATATTCGAATAAGCGCCGCCTATTTCTAATTTTGAGAGCTCCCTCAGCACTTATAATGTCGAATATGGTACTGCAAACAGAATTGGGGAAATTCTATAAAAACTAGTGTTTATCAGTTCATATAAGATAGCTACGCGATAAACCGCAAAGACCAATGAAGAAAGAAGGGTGGTTTATTTCATGATAAAACATTTTTTCTATCATGACGTAATTTCTAGAGATTCGAACATGCGCTTGCAAATTGATAACATATGTTGGACGATGTTATTTTTGAAAGGGAAGAGCCTAGTGAGTTGTTCCCCATAGATGTAACTGGGCAACGCAGATAAACACTATGGCCAAATGATAGCATCCATAACTGTGAGAGATATGACAATCAGTATTTGGAGAAAAGGTATAGGTAATCGACGTGAGGACTGTGAGAATATATGGGAAACACCCACCTATACATAAAATGGACGTGTACGACATTGCCAAGGTCGGATTCTAATTAGGGAGTCATCATTATTTAAATACAGGTAAATATTCTCATATAAGAAAAAACCGACTTGTGCGCCCTTCGTGGTTTATTCTCCCTGCAGTGTTATAGTATGATAAACAACTCCCATTCATCGTCTATTTCTTAAATCATGTTAACAGTGTACTTATGAAAAACTTGCCTAAGTTCATCACGTTTTTACAAATACTCTTGACTGGACGAAAAAAATCATTCATTTTGAATGCCATATAACATGCATAAAGTACATTCTGTATTACCAGGGTTCCTCTTGGAATTATCTGACATGGGCCTGTTACCTGAACATTTCAAATATCCTACAGGATATGGCCTATACAACACCATGTTAAAATGCCCCTCTATAATGAGGGCCTGTTTTCAAATTTAGGGGCTAAAAGCACAAGGGCCGCTCCTAGAATTATCCCTGTATTACTAACATCCTAATGCCCATATTGATGAAACATATGCTCAAGACAATGTGCTTTCTATTTCTGCCATAAGGTTGGAACTATCCAATGCTATACAAGAAACAGACAAGTGAACTTACCATTGCTGGCCAGGTCCTTGAACAGAGCCTCTATCTGCTTCCACTCCGTAGAGTTAGCATTGGGTGCGCCCTTGGTGGGGACAAACGCACTGAAATAAAGCAGGAAAATAGTATTATAAATCAAATTTGAAAAAAAGAAGAAAAGCAGTACAGGTTCATAAAGGCACACTAATTGAGTCATGAAAACATCTTTACACATTACCATGAAAATCATTCAATGTGTTTTTATCAGAAGATAGGAGTGCAATTAGTAAGCAATATACAATTCTGTTCAACTATTCTCATGTAATATCTATGCTTGAAGCTGCTTTTCTTGCCTTGCTGAGCCTTGCTCAATGCTGCTTAACTGAATTCAATTTACAAGCAGTATGCCTTGTTTGTTTACAGATGGATCCTGCTCTATCTTGCTCTAGTTCAATGGATGCTAATTGGTACTTTCACTTCAACCCATAAATGACAACACACAAACATATACCCACCCAATCAACATGAGAGCAGCCACGACCAGGATGAACACGATCAGGTACTTCAGAGCAGTACAGCATCTCTGAATACACAAGTCTATTCACATAAGGATCTCTGAATACACAAGTCTATTCACATAAGCATCTGTGAATACACAAGTCTATTCACATAAGCATCTCTGAATACAAAAGTCTATTCACATAAGCATCTCTGAATACACAAGTCTATTCACATAAGCATCTTTGAATACAAAAGTCTATTCACATAAGCATCTCTGAATACACAAGTCTATTCACATAAGCATCTCTGAATACAAAAGTCTATTCACATAAGTATCTTTGAATACAAAAGTCTATTCACATAAGCATCTCTGAATACACAAGTCTATTCACATAAGCATCTCTGAATACACAAGTCTATTCACATAAGCATCTCTGAATACAAAAGTCTATTCACATAAGCATCTCTGAATACAAAAGTCTATTCACATAAGGATCTCTGAATACAAAAGTCTATTCACATAAGCATCTCTGAATACACAAGTCTATTCACATAAGGATCTCTGAATACACAAGTCTATTCACATAAGCATCTGTGAATACACAAGTCTATTCACATAAGCATCTGTGAATACACAAGTCTATTCACATAAGCATCTCTGAATACACAAGTCTATTCACATAAGCATCTCTGAATACACAAGTCTATTCACATAAGCATCTCTGAATATACAAGTGCTTTCATTTCACCATTATTGTTATTGTAAACATTATTTGTTAGGCCTGTAGCGATACACGTTGTAATGATGCGATGTACAATAGGGAACATTGTCTGTTAGGCCTGTAGCGATACACGTTGTAGTGATGCGATGTACAATAGGGAACATTGTCTGTTAGGCCTGTAGCGATACACGTTGTAGTGATGCGATGTACAATAGGGGACATTGTCTGTTAGGCCTGTAGCGATACACGTTGTAGTGATGCGATGTACAATAGGGAACATTGTCTGTTAGGCCTGTAGCGATTCACGTTGTAGTGATGCGATGTACAATAGGGAACATTGTTTGTTAGGCCTGTAGCGATACACGTTGTAGTGATGCGATGTACAATAGGGAACATTGTTTGTTAGGCCTGTAGCGATACATGCTGTAGTGATGCGATGTACAATAGGGAACATTGTTTGTTAGGCCTGTAGCGATACACGCTGTAGTGATGCGATACACGTTGTAGTGATGCGATGTACAATAGGGAACATTGTTTGTTAGGCCTGTAGTGATACACGCTGTAGTGATGCGATGTACAATAGGGAACATTGTTTGTTAGGCCTGTAGCGATACATGCTGTAGTGATGCGATGTACAATAGGGAACATTGTTTGTTAGGCCTGTAGCGATACACGTTGTAGTGATGCGATGTACAATAGGGAACATTGTTTGTTTGGATTATGATACATGTTGTAGCGATGCGATGCACGATGTCACAATACGATACATCATATGGAACATTGTTTGTTAGGCCTGTTTGTTTGTCGTTTAACGCCGCACTCAGCAGTATTCCAGCTATATGACAGCGGTCTGTAAATAATCGAGTCTGGGCCAGACAATCCAGTGATTGACATCCTCAGCATCAATACATGCAATTGGGATACGATGACATGCATCAACCAAGTTAGCAAGCCTGACCACCCGATCCCTTTGGTCGCCTCTTACGACAAGTATGGTCGCCTTTTATTGCAAGCATGGGTTGCTGAAAACTTATTCTACCCCGGATCTTCACGGGTCTTAGGCCATTGTTGTGATGTGATACACAATACGTAACATTGTTTGTAAGGCCTGTATGATACATGTTGTCACGATGTGAAACACAATATGATACAAGAAAACTATAAAAAGCCACATTAAGAGATATATTCAATCATCAAAGACTCTGAAAAGTCACACAACCAAAACATATTTAATATTAATTAACTCCCCACTCAGCATTATTTCAGCTTCATGATGGCAGCCTGTAAATAATCCAGTATGGACAAGACAAACCAGTGATTGACGTTATGAGCAACGTCTCAAGCTGTTGGGTTTGGATGACACGCAATGAACCAAGTCTCAGACTCACGATCCATTCTGTTACCTCGCATAACAAGCCTTATTCCTAATCGAAATTCCCAAAGCAGTTTGTGACGTTAGCCCTGAGTCTGAAGTAACAATCTGTTCTGTCTAGTAAGCTAAGCTAATCTTATAGCAACATCAAAATAGCTGAATTTAATCCTACTAGACTCAAAAGTATTTGGCACAGACTACAAAAGTGTTCAGTGCTCAGCATATATCAAAGATAGATATGAACAAAATAAACATTAATATTTCACACATGTGCCATAGTCCCCAATTCCCAAACTGAATCAGATGCAATATTACTGTGTGGTAGTCATGGTGAATCCCAGTTGGGAAAATCTGAAAGGGAGTGAGTAAGAAAGGATGGTTTTTCGCCACTTTCAGCAAATATTCCAGCAATATCACGGTGGGTGACACCAGAAATGGGTTTCACACATTGTATCCATGTGGGGAATCGAACCCGGGTCGTCGGTGTGACGAGCAAACGCTTTCACCACTAGGCTACCCGACCGCCCCGAAACCTGAAATCATGCATCCTGACTGTAAGTTTGCAGCAAAAGACTTACGCTCTTGCATGATGCAGGGGAACCCTCATCCTTCTCCTCATAGAAGAAATAGAAGAAGGGTAGCAAGATGAACAGACAGAACGTCACCAGGGCATACAGAGCTGAAAATGAATGAGATTCCCAAAATGAAATCAAGTACAGACAGCAGGCTGCTCACCTAACGTATTCATGGCTACTTTTATAAAGTGATTCTATGAATAACACTTTGGGAAAGTAATGAGCCTAAAATATAAATTGCTTGGCTTGGCTCAGAGCCTCTTAATGCTTTGCTCACTTGTACTGAGCATTTAGAAGCCTCGATGCTGATTGGCAAGTCAAAGATTTGAGTAATGGAGTGAGTGAGTTGGTTCTGATGCTGCTTTGAACAGTATTCCAGTTATATCAAGGCGTGTCAGCTTAATGTGGGAGGAAAGCTCGTAATGATGCAGGTCTCAGACATTTACCACTTCGGTGAAATCAACAAGCACGGGTATCGTGCTGACAAACCTAGAAACATAATTGGGACAAACCAGAATTTGAACCAACAATCATAGGTTCCTGGCAAGCCTACGGGGAGCAACTCTGCATAGCGAATTGCAGTGCCTTAGATGACTGGGCCACCTGTGACCCAGATAGGATTTGAATGAAACTGGATGTCCTAATCATGCTAATGGTGACAGGAACCAAACATTTTAACATCATATACTAGAGTCATCACACTATGACAAATCCGCCCCTGGCCCCACAATAGCAAAAGGCACCACTTCAGCCCCTTGTTAATACATGTACCAAGTTTGGATGAAATATCTTTCATGGTTTTCAAGTAATGCTCTGGAAACGAAACGCGGATGGACAGACCAGATGATGACTATATCCCCCAAAATTATATGCCAAGGGGGTAATAATATTAACAAAATGTCTTTATTCTTATATGATTACCAAATTCTTAAGTGCTTTTTGCTGCATCAGCATTATTACCCACAACAATTTGCAGCAACCGTTACAACAGTATATATCACTTACTGTAATAGCCATACAGGACTGACTGTTCAATTGACTCTCTGGAGGCGGAGTTGTTAGCCCAATCCTTTAATATGAAAAAACCCAACAATGTTCAAGTCATGACTTGTTAATAACAATGACATCAACTACAATTACTTTGAGCTTGAACACAAATGATATATTTCTTACGCATCATGTTAATTTAATCAACCTTCTTTAAGAATACCTATCCAAAATGAAACTTTTTTTGATAAATGTTTGTAACTGTAAAGGCTAAAAAATATAATAGTCTTGGTTCTCAGGCACTGCCCACATCATCATACAGTTCATTGCACGTTTTGTTTTTGTTTCCATTTTCCATTTTTTTTGGTATTGTGTTTAAGTACATGTATTAGGATTTTTATATTTTTAAAAAATGGAAATAAAAATAAAACGTGGGGCAGACATTATGATGATGCGGGCGGTGCCTGAGAACCAAGACTATTATTTTTTTTTATCCAAAGATAGAAAGATTAAATCTGATAATAATAAAACATTAATAAAAAATAACAATAATACTAAAATAACTTCAATATTCTAAAACTATATCACTTGTAATCATTTGGCACTATTTCTTACTCAACAGCCATGACATGAAATGTGAAAAATGGACATACACTCATCTAACTTTTGATAAAACTGTATTTTTGTCTGTTAACAATATGTCTTGATTCATTCCAATATGTACAATGCATTAAAAATGAATAATGTTTTTGAATTTCTAACCTAAACTTATTTTATGTTGCATCATTTATATTGTGTATCAAATAATTACACCAACTTTAAAAACAAATAATTTCATGACATACGTCTTGTTTGTTTGTTGTTTAACTCAACAATATGTCAGCTTAATGATGGCAGCCATGTCATGAGGGCCTGTTTGTACTGAAGCCCGGTCCAGTCAGTTGGGTTTAATGACGTGAACAGTATTTTAGTTATATCACAGTATCAGCTTGAAGGGGGTAGAAAGACTGGAGTGATGCAGGTCTTTGACCTCTACCACCCTGGTACTGACAAACCTTGAAACACCAGTAGGCAAACTGGGATTCAAACCCATTAACATATGTTTCTAGCATGACAAAGGGATACACACTGGGTCACCTGTGCCCTCCTTGGCCAACAAACTAGCAGTTAAAAGTATCAGTTAATAATAATATGAATAATAATATCAGTTAAGTATAACCATCATAATGTCACCTTGAATGTTCCATCAGACGTTTTCATGTAGGACACGAGGAAGATGTCGACGGGAACAATGGCCGATGTGAGCAAGGTGATAGTTAGAGCAAAGATGGTGGCCAGGGTTGTCGACAGCTCACTGTCATATTTGCTCATGTAATAACGGATGTATATTGCCGAAAACAACAAGGTCAGCTGAAATAAACATAAGTAAAACGGTCATTATTTGACATAGCATTTTATTTGTTTATTTGTTTGTGGTTTAACGCCACACTCAGCAATATTCCAGCTATATGACTGTGGTCTGAAAATAATCGAGTTTGGAGCAGACAATCCAGTGACTGACATCATGAGCACTGATCCACGCAATTGGGATACAATAACATGCTTCAACCAAATCAGCGTGTCTGACCACCCGATCCCGTTAGTCGCCTCCCACGACAAGCATAGTCGCCTTTTACAGCAAGCATGGGTTGCTCAAGGCCTGTTCTACCCTGGATCTTCACAGGTCTGGCCGTCCGTAGGAAGGATGGATGGTGAAACAGCGCCTCTTACGACAAGCATAGTCGCCTTTTATGGTAAGTGAGTGAAAGCTTCAGGAAGCAATATTCCAATTCCACCAAGCAATCTTAGCCTTGTTATTGTCATAAGTCTATGTTCATGTATGGAAGTTTCAATTGTCTTTGCAATAAGACTGCTTTGTCAAACTGGGAATGATCCTCAATGGCCACTTTTGAGTTGGGCTCAGAGAGCATTCCATCTAATCCTACAACAACCCTAACACTCATAGTACACCGGCCTGCATTAACACTTGTCTGTTGGCCCCAGTCTAGAATTATTTCTCAGGAACCAGTGAACTGACTAAATGGTGGTCCAGCGGGCTAGTGTTTTTTAGGTTGCTGTTTCAGTTTTCATGAACTTCGTAGTTTTGCACCTGCTTGACTTGTGGCAGACATTTTTAGGATAAACTTATCCATGGCTAGAATGGCTTATTGGAGTGAATCTGGAGATCACTAGTGTAAGCATACGGACATGCAATTTCAGTAAGCAAAAATAATACAAAGTCAATTTCACTGAAAAACGAAATCAAATCCTGTGTAAACCTAAATCAATCTTCTGACTTACATGTCAAAATTCTGTAGTGTATTTGACAATTTCTGCTGCAGATAAATGCCAACTTCTGCATAAGTTCTGAACAAAATATGAATTTCTACAAGATTGGTACATTTCTGCACCCAGTTGGCATTTCTGCAAAATATTCCACAACTGTGGAATACAACAGGGACTGATATAACAATTTAATTAAATATATGTTTGTTGCGGGCAGGACATTTCTATCTGCTGGTCCTCTGGACTACTAGCAAATTATGATGTGCGGGACCCAAGGGCAACACTGTGTGGAATGACAAATTCTATAAGACAACACAATTAACCAAATGATTGCTGTCAAGGACAAAAGACGTTGAATAGGTGAGATGGCAGACTGTGCCTGGGAAATAGGGTTCAAATGTATAACCTGGGTACCCAAATCCCTATTACCCAAACCCCTATTACCCAACCCTACCCAGGTACCAACTAGAGGTTTCAGGTTAGGTACAAAATGTCAAAAATATATCATGTGACTAGCCACAGGTCCGGGGAGTCTTCTGGGTACCCTGTTCCTACTCGGAACCCACCCGACCCAAGTACCCGAGTTACCCATCCCAGGCCTAATGGGAACTTGACTTCTTTCACCTAATCTTCTTAAATCAATCACAGAAATTCATAGTTGTGCACAAATAATATATTTTTAATGACCAACGTATCCTACAAGAATACTTCAATAATGATAACTCGCCAGAGATGTCAGGAAACATTTCTGAGCAGATTCTATTAGCAGTGCAGTTGTTTATGGGGGAAGTGGACAATCTGTACCCACTGAGACCCGTACCCAAACCATTTTGGCAGACTTGTACCCAAATGTTGGATAACCGTTACCAATTTGTATCTTATCAACTGGATGACTCGTACCAATCACTGACTGTGTAAACTTCTTACACTGGACAACTTCCAAGAATGTATTTTGTTTAAATACTAAAACAACAACATGCCACCATTGGGTTAACTTAATTCCTACTTCACATCGATTGAGTTAATTGGTTGATTGTTCTTTCTCCAACTAGTGAATGAAACTAATCAATGAGTGTTTGAAAAGTAAAATGAATGAATATTTGAAATGTATAATCAGGGAGTCTATATATAGACTTATTTAGTCTCCCTGTTAAAATGAATGAATGTTTGAGATAATAAATGAATAAATATTGGAAATGTCATAGTGCTATGAATACATTGCAATGAAAGTGCAGGTCAGAATATATGAGAATTTAGTGCTGAATAACTTATCAGAAACATATACATGTATTTCTTGTCGTTTTTAGGTCTATACTGGTTAAAGCAATCACAATTTGGACGTGTTGCTTTTAAAAATAAATGGGTACGAGTCTCATTAATCTCATTAAGACCCTAATCTGTGAGACATCACAGTTGTTTAACGTCTGTCCAATCTAATTAAATACAGATCAAGTTCTCGCTTCTGCTAAACAAAGATCTGAGGACATTCCATTACAGGTCACGTCAGACTGATCTTTCATCCGACAAATTAGAGCATTGCTAACAAGATCATGACAGTGACAGTTGGCATGTGATTTCTGATCATGCAACCTCGAAAGATTTAACATCGGGTATTCCGAACAACAGAACCTTACAGCTTTATAATTGAATCCATACAATCTAGGCCATGTATGTTTGTTTATTCCGTTTTCAAATTATTAATCGAGAATTTGTCAAATGTTTCAAAGCATATTCGTCAGTTCGGAACTATTACTGTAAAGCACGAGAAAGCTGCATTCTGATGACCAATGTTGACTTCTTGTCAGTCATTCAATTGGCCGGTCAAAATGTACAAAAGTTCGGTCTGACATAATGGGATGTCCTCAGATCTTTGTATAGCAGTAGCGAAAACTAAGAACTGATTTTAATGAGACTAGAGTCATACAAATTTGGGTATGGGTCCTCCAAATCAGGGTATGGGTGAGCCAAATAAGTATGAATGCTCCAAACCAGATGCGATTGTGACGAGAATTTTAGGTACAGGTTTGCCATTTTCGTTGGGTACGAATCTCTGTGAGTACAGATTGTCTAGCATCCGTTAGTGACAGTTTTACCCTGTCATTCATGAACATAAACTTCATTTTGAAGCAAAATCTTAATTCAAGAAAACGTTTACCTCTACAAAAAAAAGAAGAAAATCAGACTACGAATTTGTCTGGAAAATAACCTATTTTCATATTGATAATTTCTTTATTTCGGAAATGTGCTATTGATATAGTACACGACGATCGGGGAACAGACGATACGTAGTTTTGGGTATTATACTACCACTGACGTGATATTCTACGCTCATCTGTTGTTATCCCTGACCTGCTGAATGAATAACAGAAACGCATATTGTAGAAGAGCGACGTCCATGTCACAATGACAAATCTGCTAATGCTATTCATCAACCACTGTCTACCTATGCGTCTTCTACAAATATGAACATTTTTATGAGTATTGCAACCTAATGCGGGAGGTGCACGGTCTGACATTCCATATTTAATGATATTTTTATAACACTTACGACAATAACAACAACAAACGGAATCCATCCTGCAGCCAAAACTGCACTTGGGATCGCCATTTTGTTTTGTTTGTATCACATGATAAACGATCATACTACTTAAAAGGGACTACTCTTACTCTACTTTAGTTGATTCATTTTCACGAGGAGAACGGTTTATTAAATCGTTTTCCTCAAACTATCAAAACGCGTCAATCCATATAAAAACGATGTAAACATAAATACTATGTTGTTTTCCAATGTTGATCAAAGGAACACGAATAGTTGATAAGAATATATGATATTTCTGTATCGTAAACCGGAAGGGAATCCCCAGTGTAAATAATTTGGCGGGAGTTTCTCCGTGCACGAAAGTTAGCTATGGAAATCATTAAGACTAGACAGCGACGGCCAGGTGGTATTAAGTCAGAAGTTAAGCAAAAATACGCACATCCGATTCAGTTTTACTCACTGCCACCAGAAGAGACGATTTCACTTCAAGAATTTGAAGAATTTGCAGTAGAACGCTTAAAAGGTTGGTGCTGTCACAAAAGGCAGAAATGTGTCATCTGGTTGTCCTTGCCAATGCATGTCAGTTGCATTCTTCTAACGTATTCGAAATACAGGGATTTATCTGGGATTTCAGACTGACTTCCCTTGTCAGGCAAATTCAACATAATAATATATTAAATTTCAACAAAACAAATTTCTCTGATTCTAACATGAAACGTCAGCAAATGTTACTATTCAACATTCTCACCAAACAGTAATTATCATCTGTTGTATATTTTCGTGACTGACTTCATTTATTTCCTCCATGGGGATTCCTGGTTAGAATTTGTCCCCACCATCCGATGCTTGTTGTAAGAGTCGACCAAATGTAATTGGTTTGGGTCAGGCACTGTCTTGGTGGGTGGTGTGTCATAGTACTCAAATGGCATGGCATGTTGTTTACAATATCAATCACTGAATTGTTTGGTTCAGATGCAATTAATGACAGTTCGCTGTCATATAGTTTGAATCATACTGAATCATGCGGTGTGAAACAATAAACTACAATGAACAAACTAAACATTGATTTATTATATAATAACAATAATAATCCAATCATCTGCCGAATCACTTTCCAGATACTCCTACTTTTGTTTTTGAAAATAAATGTATCTAGTATGAACTTATTATACCCCCATTTATGAAGTAAATCGGGGGTATATAGCGTTCCGTCCGGCCCATAACTCTTTAACCATGCACCCTAGCTTCACCAAACTAGCTACACACATTTACCACAATGAGCACTTGTGCCTTTTGCTAGTTTGAAGATTCTGAACTTTTTAATTTTTGCCGTTTCCATGGAAACATTAAGAAACTTAAACTTTTAGGGTGGGTGTTTTGTACGGCCTATATCTTTTTAACTATGATAACACAAAGTTGTCAAACCCTGTTGTAGTGTATTCATTACTGTTTCAGTTCTGAAAGCTGTGGAGACTGCCTCTGTCCGGCATGTTCGAGGCTCAACTGAATATGTTGCATACTTGGAAAAGGAGATAAAGAACACCAAGTTCAAGTCACTACTGAAGGTAAAGATGTCAGAAAACTCCTCTCATGCTTTACCTATTAAAAAACACCTGGGACGAGAGAAAGTGTAACCTTTTGTTGCTTAAAATTGATGGATCCCATTTAGTGTCTCATTAGTCCTAATGATTTCCACCGAATCAGTGTCTGCGCTGGCTTAAATTTTCTTGGGGTCACTTGGACCCATTCATCATAAAATTAGGGGTCCCAAACAAAAATGGAGGGGTCCAATTTATAGCATCATAATATAACATAAACAACAGAATACAGTGGTTGTGAAAAATCAGACATCTTTTCGCAACTGCAAAATATCAACAAACAGGCAAAGTGAGAGAAAGGTTCACATCAGGGCACATCCTGCTCTAATGACCAAGAGGTTTACATTAAGGGACAAACAATTTCTTAAAAGGGACATTTGATATTAATGAATATTTTAACACAAAATTATCCATGTTAATATCTAACTTCGTAAATGAAAAGGCAGTGCACAGGTTATCAGCCATTGGTAAGGGGTCATTGTGACAGACATTTGTGAATGTTTTTACCGAGATCTACCAATGATTTGAAGTTATGGATTCAGTTAAGTTCAATGGCTGTTCTGATGCTACTGTACTGAGTATTGAGTTCATGTTGTAACTGTGACAATGATCAATGAGTCATAAAATATAATTGGCACATCAAACGGTTTTTTAGTAAGAGTATGTTCAGGATCCAGTATTTCCTTGATAAATCTAGTCAACATGTTTCAGGTGCTATAAATGTTTAAACATGTCAGTTACACTAATAACGGTTCTGATGTGTTTTGCAATTCTTAATATAACTCACAAGAGATTGAATTATTATCAGCTTGATAAGTCTGTTGTAGAATAACTAAATATTCAGAGTCCGCTAAATAAAAACAATGCTTACATCATTGTACATTCAAGTGTTCGCATTTATTCTTTATCATATACAGTATCGCGGTGTCGATAAATCTCGTAATCCACACAACCAGTCGACTGTTTACTTATGCAAATCTAAGCACGATATATTTCATCGCATGATCGAATACAGGACTCGTTGCGGTCTGTCACGGCAACTTTTTTATGATAGTTTCTGGGATGTTTTTTAAGTGGAATTACCCCTACCTCCATTCGAAATTGATTAGAAAAAGAACCCATTTGTTCAAACAAAGTCCCTTGACCAAACCTCGGTCGTATGCAAAATACAAAACAGGAAGTGATTCTAATCCACACAGCCTTACTTACTGCGGTAAGATTCACCAATGACAGGTACTTTGTTTACCCAACTCGGTAAAGAAAATCAGTATCGATCAATCGAATGAACAACAAACATTTTGTGAATCACATATTTAATATTTGGAAGCTTGCCCCATTACGATCCATTATAAATTAACTACCGCGATAACATAGCGTACCATCCCACACGGTCGTTGATTTCGCTGGTCACTGTTACCACGTTCTGAAGTATACCCTTGATGTGCCTGGCTATTGTTAGTTTGACACAAGGTCGGGATATTTTCGACCAATCATCAAGCTAAATGAATTACGACTATATCCGACCTGCTTAATACATGTAACATGCGGCACCTGATTGGCTGAAGCAAAGCTACGGACCATACCGAACATTAATACATGCAAAACCGAAAATAGATATAGGTCAAGAAACCGGTTTGGGTATTTGTCATAAAAAGGTAGAGAATAATGAAACTGGTTTGGTTTAGCAAACGGAAGTGTTAATCAACATGCTTTGCTGTCTTGTTTGGCAACAAATACCTTTACGCAAAGACGTACGTCTTTGATTTACGATAACAGTGTCAATTCGATATGAAATTAATAACGCCCCAGTCACTGCGTCCACGAGACCCACACATGATACGCAGGTGTGTTCAAACTCATTTTTGTGCGTCCAAGACGCAAAAACGCGCTCTTCAGCCAACACTGCGGAATACTAAATAATTTAGTATTCCATGGAAATCATTAGGACTAATGAGAGCTCTTTTGTTATGTGTCATTGATGTTGTGTAAAAAAGTGAAACTTGTTGCCAGTATTATGTTGACCATGTTGACCTGAAAAAATTCAAATGAAATCATTCCCTGCTATTCCCTGCTGACAGTGTTGCTTAATTTCACCTTATTTGTGATCATACCATAATTGATATAATTAGTCTTGGTGTTTAACCAGGTCAGATGCAAAAGTGTTCAAGAACGTCTACAGTTATCTGGTCATTTCAACAGAGATATTATTTTGGTAGAAATCTTTGTAAATGCATGAGTTTTGCCGAAGCAGTTAGAAATAAAAGCTTTTCTGACATGAACTGACAGTGGTTTAACTAAACCTGTTTAGAGGCCGATATTCAGCCCCAAGTCAAAAAAACCTCATCAAAATCAGATCTTAGTTCTGCCTACCGCTAAACAAAGATCTGAGGATATCCCAATTATTGACCGACCAATGAAATTAGAAAAACAAGAAGTCAACATTAGCCAGTTAGAAAGCAGCTTACTTGAGCTTTACAGCACTAGCAAACATAAAACTGAACATTAGAAATTTGTCATTGTCTTATCGTGCTAACAGATGGCCGAGATTGTACTACCCTCGGGCTATGGAAAGTCTCTTCCATTTATCCCATTGAAGCAAGAGATAGAATAGACAATGATTTTGACGGAGTCAGTTGTACAGCCAGCAGCTGTCGTTAGGAATACACTATCTTACCTATACCTCCATGTTTAAGAAAATATGATTTAAAAAAAATCCCAGTTTTAAACAAAAAATGATTTTTTTTCCAATTTGTCAGCCATGTGCACTTAGTTTGGAATCCCAGATAAATCCCTGACAAATCCCTGACCGACATCTTTTTGTGTAGCATTTGCATGTTCCACGAGGTTCCCACACTGTCATTGTCAAGAAGCGGTGGGGTAGCCTAGTGGTTAAAGCGTTCGTTCGTCACGCCGCAGGCCCGGATTCGATTCCCCACATGGGTACAATGTGTGAAGCCCATTTCTGGTGTCCCCCCACCATGATATTGCAGGAATATTGCTAAAAGCGGCATAAAGCCATACTCACTCACTCACTGACTCACTCATTGTTGTCAATGATGTGCTACTTTCCAACAGGTATCTTATGGCGGTGAGGTGAAAGAGGACGAGACGGATGCTCGTAGGCTGGACCACATCTCTCACTTCATCCTGAGGCTGGCATATTGTAGATCGTAAGTTTAACTTTGCATCCACTGCATCCACACGAAAGATGAAATTTAAAGTTTTTAAGCAGCGTTAAACCCAACTCACTCACTCACTCTTTAATATTTATTGTTGTACAGATATTCTTGATCAGAATGTCAAGAGGCATGGGGATAAACAAATAATATGTTGATTTGGGGACAGATTTGTAAAACAAGTCTTTATCAAAGTTTATACTGTGTAAAATACTATTTACCATATATACTTGAGTATAGTGCGCACCTAAGTATAAATCGCACCCCTCTCTAGCGGATTCAGTATTTTGGAAAAAAAAAAGTTCTAATATGCGCCGAAAAAAAATACCCCATACCCCTTCAGCGAATTCTGGTAAATGAATGGGTGGTGAGAAACTTGGTCAGTACAAATTTAAATTTTTTGATAAGAAATCACCAGACATGTTGATTTACTGTTTAAATTGTATTTTTTGTTCTGCTAGGCATTGTTTTACATCCAGGGATTAAGATTACCTTGTGTATTTTCCCGTATACTAAGCTGGAAACAGCAGTCAGCTGTACACACATTTTCTTGGAATCTACCGGTGATTCGGTCAAGACACACCCAATGATATAACTTTACAGGATTTTAATGCAAGGATCTGCAAAAATTGTATCTGAAACAAATTTTTTATCAGGAATAATATATTCCAATATCTTGTTATTTTAGTTGCAGCTTTTACTAAATATATTTAAGATAATAATAACCCTAAGCGTAGCAGCTGATCGCTCTTCCCGTTATTATTTTTCACATGGAACCAGTTTGACCAGTCACCGCCGAGGCTCCCGGGCACATGATCACGAGAACTACGTGTTGACATAGAATCGTCAAACTATAACAAATATGACTTTAAACGAGATTAGTATGGCATTTATGATATACGAGATGTATCACATTCTCTGTCAATTTAAGTTTGTTTCAAGGCGTCAATAGCGGTAATCTGACCGTGGTTGCAGTTAATAATGGTGAGTTGTGCGATCTTCAGATCGCTTCACACACGACTTTGCCAAAATTAATTAAAACAATATTGAAAGGAATTTATAAAATAAGTTTCAAACATAAGTCCAGATATACAAAAAAAACACTTTTTATAGCCAGACAGTGTAATTACATGATTAATTTGCGTACTTCAGTAAGGATTTGTTGACATGGTATTTCCGGTGTTACGTGCTCATGGTAAAGTCTTGTTGGGGGAAAATAACCCATCAAAACTCATTATGGCGTGCAAAATGAGCACCCCCTTCTACACAGCTGTGTTTTCTGGAAAAAAAGTGTGCACTATACTCCAGAAAATATGGTATTAGATTATCCTGTCTCAAACTGCGTTTCTTCTTTCGATCCTTATTTGGATCTTTGTGCTTCCAGCTTCTAAAAACATTGTAATTCCCTTTTCGTGTGACCTTTCATGACTTGGCCACCTGACTACCCCTGCCACATCATTCTGATCGCCACCCCGTGGAGTCATGTATTGAGTTCCAGTGAATACATAGTTTTCACGACCGTACGTCCGTACGTCCCACTTGTTTGTTGCCGCGATATCTCAAGAACTGAACGCTGGATTGTCTTCATATTTGGAACTATGGTGTATATACAGACTCTACAGACACCAGTCGGTTTGGTGACCTTGACCCCATTTTCAAGGTCACAGCAGGCAAATCTGCTTTTGGAGTTGGAAAATGGTGTTGCCGCGATATCTCAAGAACTAATCGCTGGATTGTCTTCATATTTGGAACTATGGTGTATATACAGACACCAGTTGGTTTTGGTGACCTTGACCCCATTTTCAAGGTCACAGCAGGCAAATCTGCTTTTGGAGTTGGAAAACTGTGTTGCCGCGATATCTCAAGAACTAAACACTGGATTGTCTTCATATTTGGAACTATGGTGTATATACAGACTCCGCAGACACCAGTCGGTTTTGGTGACCTTGACCCCATTTTCAAGGTCACAGCAGGCAAATCTGCTTTTGGAGTTGGAAAACGGTGTTGCCGCGATATCTCAAGAACTAAACACTGGATTGTTTTCATATTTGGAACTATGGTGTATATACAGACACCGCAGACACCAGTCGGTTTTGGTGACCTTGACCCCATTTTCAAGGTCACAGCAGGCAAATCTGCTTTTGGAGTTAGAAAACGGTGTTGCCGCGATATCTCAAGAGCTAATCGCTGGATTGTCTTCATATTTGATACTATGGTGTATATACAGACACCGCAGACACCAGTCGGTTTTGGTGACCTTAACCCCATTTTCAAGGTCACAGCAGGCAAATCTGCTTTTGGAGTTGGAAAACGGTGTTGCCGCAATATCTCAAGAACTAATCGTTGGATTGTCTTAATATTTGGTACTATGGTATATATACAGGCGGGGGACATTTCGTCACTTTCTGACAAATACTTGTTGTTTTTGTTTTTGCTTCTCTGTATTTTGCATGAGCTACCTCCTCATCCGTAATAACATCAACGATACTAATTGAAGAAGATGATGTGAATGGAACATGATAAACACCTGGCCTGTAAAAATCGCAGACGTACTTACTCCACTTGGGATCCTCATGATCAGTGCTGTGATTGTCGCGACCTTTGCCCAGTGTTCTCACCTCTCGGAGGAAGCTTTCCATTGATATTTACGCAAATGCCACAAGCGGAATGTTGAATGTTGGTCTAAATCTATGGATGTGGAACGCAGGCCATTCACTGCCAAGAAGCCCAAACATGTCACCAAGCCAGCTGTCCATTCCACTGTAACAGTCATGAAACCACCTCCTGCGTCTTCCATGCCATCCTTGTCGGTTGAAGACGATGGTGTTTCCTCACTGATGTTGTTCTCACCAAAAGGAACCAATCACAGACCACAATCTCTATCCAGACGCCTCATGTTGTATTGACCTCATCTTCCCAAGGCAAGAGAGTTAACTGACTTTAACAGTCCAGTTTCCACCCTTGCCGAACTAGGCTGGAATTCCTGGCCTCGATCGTAGCGCCACCAGAGGTTATTACATGTTATGTTCCATCTAAGCCTCTCCTATGGACCAATCAGATTCCACCTCTCGTATCACTTGCCTTTGCTTCACACAAAATGGTGGCGCCCGGTCAGGACGATCTGATCGATTATCAAGCTCCATATTGTAATAAAACGGGTCTTACATCGCGAAATGCATCAAATTACGTGAGCACCTTGATTATAGACATGGAAAGATTTGGAAAATATCTGTTGACAACGAGTTGGCGCTGCACATGCTTTGCAAATCTTGCAATCGACTGAAATCTGTCCGACAGTTTACGAATCGGATTTCGATTTCGGTACACGATTTTGATTGGACTATACATAGACTCGTTAGTCCAGCCAAAATGTAACTCCATAATACCAGTCTAGTTCGGCAAGGGTGGAAACTGAACGTTTATAGTCAGTTAACGCTCTTGCCTCGGGAAGATGTCCGCTGTCGACAGCCAGTAGGATCGCCATCGCTTCGACCTATATCCCTCTCCTAGCCGTTTAGTAGATCAACATTGATACCAATCTTCTAAGGATCTACATCGATACTCATCACCTACGGAACAACATCGTGATTGACGTCGATACCCTCCGCTTATGAATCACCATGTGGAGCGACACTGACACTCTCCTCGGGGTTGACATCAACATCGATATCGGGGCACAGGTTCTAATTATACACAATGTCTGCAATGTCACGGACTTTCTGAGATGGATTTATGACCTGACATCGCAATTGTCAAACGTTAGGCGGATCTGCGTTTCAAGGCTTTGTTGAAGAATTGTATACTATTGTCAGCCAAGAATCCTAAGCGAACAGGCACCCCATTGTTGACGTACCTCCCTCGGTTTTTTTCAAGACCACATCAGTGACTTCACTATCGATGGAGGAAGATGCACAATTGATCACTATTGACAAAAATCTTAACGTCGAACCACTTGCGGAGTAGAACTTTGAGTTGATCACCCTAAAAACCTTTTTTCTCCTGACCCTTAGAACTGCTGCTAGAGTGACTGAGATCCACACTTGTGATGTTAACAGGGTCCAGTTTGAGAGCAATTTCATTAAAAACAGATCTAAGTTCTCGCTGCTGCTAAACAAAGATCTGAGGACATCCCATTACGGGTCATGTCAGAACAACCTCGATCTTTACGGAATTCCTTTCAACCTGGCTACTTCCATTTCAGACTACGCTTGAAAAATATGTTGACACAGTTCTAGATTAAAATTTTGAAAACTGAACAAACGAACATTCTGGAATGTCTAATATATAGTTGAGATTGTATGGCAGTGCTTCCCACGTATTGTGCAACAATTCCTCCATTCAAAGTTAATCCCACAGAAGTGAGAGACGATAATTTTGACGGAATCTGTCTTGGGGTCCGTAACTTCGGAATACCCCGTGTTAACGTTTTCGAGGTTGCATGATTAGAAAAACATTCCGAGTGTCACTTTCATGATCTGGTAAGGGACACTTCTTTGATTGGTGGGATGAAAGGTCGTTCTGACGTGACCCGTAATGGGATGTCCTCAGATCTGTGTTTAGCGATAGCGAGAACTAAGATATGATTTTAATGAGATTGGTTTGAGAGAATACACAAAAGGAGAAGGTCTTTCTGGGACTTCCCACGGGATTACAGTGCCTGACCCATTTATTATGCCCCCGACAAAATGTCTGGGGTATATAGTTATACCAAGATTCCGTCCATCTGTCCGTCTGTCCGTCCGAAAACTTTGTCCATGCGATTTCTCTTAAACTATTCAGTGGATTCATCTCAAACTTAGTACATATAATCTATTTTACATATATTAATTTTCCATTTTTTTATGAATTTTTCAAACCCTAATGTCCATCTGAAGACTTTGTCCGCGCGGTTTCTCTTAAACTATTCAGTGGATTCATCTCAAACTTAGTACATATAATCTGTGTCATATGGAGGGGTAACAGTCAAAAGTAAAAGAATGTTTTTATTAATTTTCCATTTTTTTATGAATTTTTCAAACCCTAACCAGGGTTTCCCCTGCTGCAGTATTCTTGCGTATATGACTCTCAATTAAGGAAAAATACGTCCAGAAATTAATGACTGCGTCATGACTGACGCAATTTCAAAATATCTGTGTTGTTGTTTACCAGCTTTGGAATGAAATATTACAACTACTCACCTGAACTTAATTTATAAACATTTTCTGAAGACAATATATGCAAACATCTTAAAATTTATGTCTAGTTTGTAATTAATCGTCGTTTCAAAATATATTTATGCATCAAAGTGAACATAACTCTCACACTCCATGTGGCTTCGATGACAGCACGTGATGTAAACAAAGGAAAATTTCGCAAATGGACATGTTTTTTCACGTTTCGGCATATTTTCTCATTATAAGTTAACCATGACATATGTTTATCTAGATGTGTTGACTCGTAAAAAATGAAACAGAAGAAAATATTATCATTGTTGCGGTGAATAATGTGATTTGGCACGGTTACAGTATGTGGTTAAGCAGAACCTATTGAACGGGGTAAACAGAAGTTGTAAGTATCGGAGGGACACATGTTTTTGCCGAAAGTTAGGTAAACATTATTGAATGAAATTTTAAATAAAATTTATAAAATAGATGACAAACATAAGGTCAGATATACAGAGAACACATTTTTATTACCAGATAGTGTAACCACAGGATTAACTTGCGTAATTCAATTCGGATTTGTTATGCTATTTCTGATGACGGATCATGACAGCCTGAAATAAGACTTAAGAAAAGTCTGTGCGTATTATACACGAGAGTTATTTCTTTCAGGATTTAATAGCCCATAATTAGGGGTGTGTATTATACACGAGCGAATAAATATGGCATATACGAAATGTAAAGCTTTGGGCGTGTTTGTTGTTGCTAATAAACTGTATTCAACCAGAAAATATTAGAGTGTTCACAAGTCTTCAGTTCAACTTCACTGTTGATAGATAATACAAGATAACTAGATAAAAGATGTAAATGAGCTAGTGGTATTAGATTATAATCTGACATGAAATGTATTTTAATATCCATCCATGATTAAAAATTATGTCTCACAGTTGAGACTGATGTTATTTATTCCTCCTGTATTAGTGTCACTGTAAATTGTTTCATGAGCTGTGAAGTAATTAAAGATTGTGAAAAGATAAAACCAACAAACTTTGTTTTTCATTCATATGTCCTTTATTTCTCTGTAGTACAATCAGCTGAGAACATTAATTAGCACTTGTTAACTTAAACTAAAGACATATAATATTTAAAAGATACTTAACTTTAAGTGTAACATTAACAGTGAACACTTTAAATTTCATTAATCATACAATAAAACATTTGACTCTCAAAAAATATTTTTGAGTCCCAAAAATTCATAGGCTGAGTCAAGGTGACTCTCAGATATTGGAGTCTAGGGGGAACCCTGCCTAACCCTATCCTAGCTATTTAATTTGTAACTACTGACACACTAGGCAGGTCGGGGGTGTTAGTGAGCCATGCTCACTCTTGCACTTGTTTGAGTGGTGACCATGGTGATGCTGGGATGTGTTCGGGTGAAATGTTTTTAGTTCAAGCATGTTTCCACATAAGGATCGAAAGAAGAAGGAAGAAATGCATAGTGTGAGATACGATAAGTATATATGCAATTTAATGTAAAATGTACAATTTTATCTGTTCATCTGACAGTCTATTGTTTGGTTTCATTTTGTTTCAGAGAGGATTTAAGACGATGGTTTCTGCAACAGGAGCTAGACCTTTTCCGTTTCCGATTCCAGAGAGAGACAAAAGACTCTCGTCTTTCTTTCCTGAAAATCAACAATCTTGGTTACAAACCAGTAAGTATTCAACCAGATTTATAAAAACCCAAAGTACACGTGTTACAGTGTCCTTCCTTGTCTCAAGAGCTGACTGAAGATCGAGAGGTTACAATGTGTGATTGTGTAGCATCGTATCCCAATGGCATGGATCCTTCCTCTTACTGTCAACAAGTGGTTCGCCTGGCCCAGACTTAATTATTTACAAAGGTGTAATCAGAGCTACAGATAAGCTGTGTATTCGCGTAAAATACACCCCAACCCCCCCACCCCCCCACCCCCAAATTATTCAAAACCCAATTGCTTACAATTAACTTGCGTACAGAAACGTGTGTATTAAATAGAAAACAATTGTTTGAAAACAGCACCAGTAAATACCCAACGAAGCTTTTGCAGCATGCGTACAACAGAGCTAATTTCAGAAACACAATTACAAGCCAAGTTACTTTCTAAGTCAAGCCTATAGTTAGAACCATTAGATACATCTAAAACATTATTTCATTTTTTTAAAATCTCCAAGTGCTTACTCATTTTGGGAAAAACTCAATAGACTGAGTGAAAACATATTGGTTACCTAATGACAAATGTAATAACCCAAGTAAAAGAGAAACCATCGAGTAAAAACTCATTTGCTCAAAAATTTATCTGGAGCTGATTATGCTTGTCGTAAGAGGTGATTAATGGGATTGGGTGGTCAAGGTTGCTGACTTTGTTGATGCATGTCATCATATCCCAATTGTGTGGATCGATGCTCATAATGTCAGTCACTGGACACTGTCCCGACACGATTATTTGCAACCAACCGTCATATAGCTGGAATATAGCTCGGCATTAAGGGGCTATAAAACAAGGACAGGTCGGCTCGGAGTCAGTAAACTGTGTCTGAGTGGGGTATTAATGTTAAACTGCGGCATGGTATCTCAGTGGGCTAGCACTGTAAATCGGCATCAGTCCGGACTAGTACAAGCAGCCACACAAAGACACACATGTACATGCAAATCGCTATATAAGTGCAATAATCTTGGACGCGACGTTAAACCCAATTTCACCTCACCTCACCTCACCTCACCTCACCTCACCTCACCTCACCTCACCTAACTGATCAGTATTTACTGACCAATGTAGGCACCACATACATGAACTCTACTGCCGTGAATAATGCACAAAATAGTTACCTCACACTTATTGTGTCATAGGTATATATCATTGTTGTGGTCTTGAAATGAGGATCACATGATTTCATGCTTTGGAACAAGTGCATGATTTAAACACAGAAAATGTCTACCAAAAATCTGTTCCACAAACGGTGCCAAAATCCACCAAAAATTATTACAACCAAAAGAAATGAGGTCTGTCAGTTGGCTTAGAATACAATAGACAACTTTTGTTAAAAATAACCAAATGGACTGCACCGAAAGGTGTAAGTATATTGAAAACTTCAAATCAAAAGATTATCTGCATGAAAATATTTCTTTATTGCCTATATCTGCTGCATGTGCGATGAGGGATTACGATGTTAAGCCTAATTTACTTCTTCAGTATGTTTGAATGTGTTTATTCCTTTATTTAAAAGTAATCTTTCTGTCAACAGATTCCTGATGAAGAAAAGACAGAAGTGTTGCCATACCTCGTGGCTTGTGACACACCTGCACGAGTAGAGGTCAATGAGTACTACAAGGTACATGGTCAGCATGGGATTCATGGCACAGCTTAAACAAGGCTTTCAGCCTTCATCAGAAAGATGAACTTTGGCACATATGGTTCTCTTTATGATGACGTTGTTCAAATCATTAGGATATTTACAGTGTTTTTGTGAAACTATTAGAAAAATTGTATGGTATTAGAATAATTATTCCATGAGACATGTTAGAAGGTTTATGAGTCTGGAGTTGAACTGTGTGTAAAGTAAATGTAACTGTTGTGTGTGGGACAATGTTCGACAGTAGTACTTCATTCTTGGATTTGGTTGGTTGGTTGGTTTGTTTGTTGTTTAACGCCGCACTCAGCAATATTCCAGCTATATGAGGGCGGTCTGTAAATAATCGAGTCTGGACCAGACAATCCAGTGATTAATATCATGAGCATCGATCCCCGCAATTGGGATCGATGACATGCATCAACCAAGTCAGCAAGCCTGACCACCCGATCCCGTTAGTCGCCTTTTACGACAAGCATAGTTGCCTTTTACGGCAAGCGTGGGTTGCTGAAGACCTATTCTACCCTGGATCATTCTTGGAGATTTAGAAACATTGTAGATAGTTACTTGTTCTGTATTTGTTTATACCTTGGCTCTCAGTATTTATGCAGAAAATATTTGAATAGCACTGCTTACACAATCACATTTAAATCAGATCTTAGTTCTCGCTACCGCTTAACAAACCTCTTAGGACATCCCATTACGTCACGTCATCCGACCAATCAAAGTGTCGCTTACCAGATCATGAAAGTGAGAGTCGAAATGTGTTTTCTAGTCATGCAACCTTGAAAACGTTAACACAGTATATTCTGAACAACAGTTACGGCCCGTACGACTGATTCTGTCACAATTATAGTCTATATTTCGCTTCCCTGGGATAAACATTTGAATGGAGGAGGCGTTGCACAGTATGTGGGAAGCCCTGCCATACAATCTCAACCATATATTAGACATTACGGAATGTTCGTTTGTTCAGTTTTCAAAATTTTAATTGAGAACTGTGTCAACTTATTTTTCAAGCGTAAACTGAAATGGAAGTCGCCAGGTTGAAACGAGTGCCATAAAGCTTGAGAGAGCTGCTTTCTAATTGGCTGATGTCGACTTCTTATTAGTTATTTCAGTGCTCGGTCAAAGTTCACGAAAGGTCGTTGACGTGGTTGTTGACGTGACCTGTAATGGGATGTCCTCAGATCTTTGTTTAGCGGTAGTGAGAACTTAGAACTGATTTTAAGGAGATTGACTGCTCACAGGAACTTTATGTGCCTGCTCAGGTTGACATTTTTTACGGCTGATTACATACCTAGGTGAACTATTTCTTTCATGGTGATCAGTACTTATCCATTGAAAAATAAATCTTGTTTTAAAATTAGTCTAGATTTTAAAAATACAGAAGCATTCTCTCCTTGTTTAAATGATGACTCTATTGTTGCTGGCATGTTTGACAAGTTTCTGCCTTCTGAGATGAAAGGACCTGTTTTGAAAATATGCTCTTTCACTCAAACTAAATATATGTTTGTATCAAGGTCCTTTACTCTGTCACAGGTTCATTTCACTGAAGCACTGGATTTGGTCCGAGGAAAGAGAGTATACTTGGAACAAGGCTTTGCGTTTGTTGCCCAGGATGACCTGGCTTCCATTTTGTTGTCTGTGTACAGGACGAGACTGTCACATGCACTGGCTGTAAGTAGAACTGCTTTTCAAGAAAACAGAATTGAGGGACATGCTCCAGTTAACATGGGGCGGTCGGGTAGCCTAGTGGTTGAAGCGTTTGCTCGTCACGCCGAAGACCCAGGTTCGATTCCCGACAAGGGTACAATGTGTGAAGCCCATCATCAACCACTATCTAAAGACTTCCAGACATATTGTACATGTTACATGGTTCCCTTACTGTCTCATCTAAGTAGGGAACACTGTTGTCAAACTGGAAAGGCAGCCCCAATGCCATTGAACTCGCACCCAATTGAAATCCGACGATTACAGACCTTAGAAACTTTTTAGATCTCTTCTGAAAACTCACCTGTTCAAAGCCTGTTGCTACTGACGTGCAAACAATGATGTCCAAGTCCTTGCAAAACTGCAGATCCATCTCTTTATTGTGTCTTACATTACATTGCATTCCTTCTAAGCCATGCCCAGGACAGTTCATTGCACCGAAGCGCTTCTGTGCAGTTATAATCAACTGGAAATAAGCTCTTAATAAATGTATAAGTTTTAAGTTATTCTTCTTTTTATTTTTAAGTTATTATTTTTAAGTTGTTGTTGTTGTTATTATTATTATTCACTGGATTGTGTGGCCCAGACTGAATTATTCACAGGTGATATAGTTTGACTGTTAATGAGTGTGGCTTTTAACGAATAAAGATACAAACAAACTGAACTATTTAATCGTTGTAATGCAAAGTTCGTACACCAGCCAGATGACACAATTGTACGATGGTATTTGTCACACTTTCATATTTGATCTTGTAGCTGTTTTGTACTGACACTAAACCTTGGAATTAGTCTGAGCAACAATATCATGAAATCACCTTGGATATTTTTTCTGCAATTACTTCTGCAGTCATTTATGGATACAAATCACCTGCTGTTATTAACAACGCCACAGGAGCCTCATTCTGGCTAGTTAGAAAAACTTGTGACGACTTCCAGTTGAGACTAATACTCCCAATTAATTCTTTTTGATGATTACGTATCAGGTGACTTGTCGAGCCTTGCCGCATCTGGAGGAGGACGATCGCCTTCTGCCAATGTTGTGTGGTCTGAGCAAGCGCTACCTGGGTCAAGACTATAACAACAAGAAAACCACAGTAGGGCAGATCACTGCTGACATGATCGATTTGGTGAGTGTGTAAATCAGATAGACCCATCCTCCCGAGGCAAGGACATTAACCGACTATAAAAGTGCAGTTTCCACGCTTGCCGAACTAGGCTCTATCGTAGCGGCACCAGTGACTACTGTATTCGACGTAATAAGCGCCCAGAGAGCTCTCAAAATTAGAAATAGGGGGCTCTTATTAGAATATTTTTTTGGGGAAAAAAAACAGAGTTGAAAGATAAGTTTTGTGGTTTAAGCTGACAGCCTGAATTGTAAATGTACGACAGATATATTTTCTCAAAATTAAATGCCCATAATTAAGGGTGCATATATCACACAAGTGCGTATTAAACGCAAATAAATAAGTCTTGTGTACATTGATCAATCGGAAGGGGTGCTAATTGGGATTGTTCACTTGCCAATATCTTAGCGCTGTGGGCGCTTATTATAGCTTGGCGCTTATTACGTCAAATTATTAAGAGTTATTTCCTTTCTATGTCCCTCCTATTGACCAGTCAGATTCCATCTCTCATATCACTTGCATTTGCGTCAAACAAAATGGCGGCAACCTGTCAAGAAGATCTGATCTATAATCAAGATCTATATTGTAATAAAACAATGCCCAGTTGGCATACACATGCTTTTCAAATCTTGCAGTCGACCGAAATCTGCACTTTGAAATCAGTGTTGTTTACGAACCAGATGTCTACTTCATAGCGCGATTTTGATTGGAATATGCATAGACATAGTCTAGCCAAAATGTAACTCCTGTAATCCAGCGTAGTTCAGCAAGGGTGAAAACTTGACTTTTATAGTCAGTTAATGCCCTTGCCTCAAGAAGATGGATAGCCCTTCCAAGCTGATAAACTTTTCATGAAGTCTAGCCCCGCCCCCCCCTGCGAAATATACACCACTCATTCTAGTCATGTATTGAATCCAAGTTCCACAGCATCATCAGTACTGGTGGTGTATATCTACCGTAAGTCATGAAATTAATGCATCACCAAATTAATGATCCATAATATCAAATGGATACTCAAATACTTTGTTTTGTTTCTTGTTTGTTCATGTATTGATGCTTAGGGCCCACAAATACTTATTGCTCCTCTTATCATATATTGTGGAACATTGCTCTTGCTGTCAACCATAGGTTTGCCTGCCCAAGCTTCATATATTTACAATATGGAATTTAACCCTTTGTTTTGCTAACTGTAATGTAAAAGAACAGAGACACACACAAGTTCCTGTGAAATATGCCATTGCTTGAGTTTCATAACAGAAGAGATCCTGATTGATGATGTTTCTTCCTTGTGCAGCTGTCGCGGACATCCTTTCCGCCTTGCATGCAGCAGCTGCACCAAGGCCTGCGCAGCAACCACCACCTGAAGCACGGCGGCAGGATGCAGTATGGACTCTTTCTCAAGGGCATCGGTCTCTCTCTGGACGAGGCTATGAAGTTCTGGCGAACTGAGTTTGTCAAGGGAATGGATCCTGATAAGGTTGGTTTTGTGGGTGGAGTTTAGCTTGGTGATCATTGGTTCAAGCCCTAGTTTATATTCTGATTTTGTTTCTTGGTTTGTCCGCACCATACTGTTGAAACCATGCCGTGCAAAGTGGTGTTAAACCCAACTCTGTCACTGGTTGTTTAGCATTAGGAGTGCAGTGATATGGAAGGCTACAGTATCAGAGCTCCAGATAAGCTTTTGGTGTTGTGGGATTTTACCCATGCATTTTAAAATCATTGGGTATCAGTAATTCTATCTAGGTATTCAAATTTCTGTTACCCACTAGTTTTTACACATGTGGGTATTTAAGTTAAATATTTAAAAACACTATTCATCTAGTCCCTGCAAACTGGTGTTGTGTGGGTTCGAGAGCTTTATAGGACTAAAAAATACCACGATTCTTCCACAAAAAAGTGTTATGTCAAATGATCATGATGTAACTGTCATCGTGGAGTTTGGCAAGGTTGACAGAATGCCCGTTTCTAATTTCAAAATAAGTTGCTGATTTGCTAATTGAATATGCAGGGTTACTTCACAATATTTTGATGATACGCACAAGTTTTATTTTTGTAGCGTATCTGTAACGTTCGTTGCGTATTTGATACGCTTGGATTTTATTTTACTGCATATTTCTGCATTTCTGATGCGTATTTTACGCAGATACGCAGCTTATCTGGAGCTCTGCGGTATGATACATATTTCGATACACTGGATATGTTATGTATCATTATACGTCAGAAAAACAACGCAAAGGTTATGAATGGAACAGATTTGTTTAATTTTAAAGAGGAATAAAGCCACTTACATGACAACCACTTACCTTGATGAAGAAAATTCTGTCATAACCTTAATACATCCTTAAGACGAAGCTGACAAGTCATTTGGTCAAACAAAAAACAAAATAAACTGAACACTACTGTACCATATATAGAGCATTAACTAACCTCCAACTTTCCCTTTGAAATCCAAAACTCAAATTAGATCTGATGATCTGTAAACAAAGTCAATATAATTGAAATAGGTTTGTTTGGCCATGTTGCAGTTTAGCCTCATTCCGAGGCTCCAGTTGGCCTTTTGAAAAACTCTTAGAACAGGATATGAACATATGATGGGGAAAATAACGTAAAATATATGATTCAATGATTCAAGAAATGATTCAATGATTCAACATGTTTATCGTCAGTTTGACAAGCAGTACTCGTACAACATCCGTCACAACTACGGCAAGGAAGGGAAGCGAGCAGACTACACCCCGTACAGCTGTATGAAGATCATCATGTCAAACACACCCGGACAGGGGGACTCGCATGGTGAGACATAAATCTACGGCACGAGATTGCAGGATTCTTGCAATGTCACTGTTCATTCCTGCAAAATTATAGGTGAGGTGAAGTGGGGTTTAACGTCGCGTCCAAGATTATTGCACTTATATATCGACGTGCTTGCACGTGCATGTGTGTGTGTGTGTGGCTGCTTGTACTAGTCCGGACTGATGCCGATTTATAGTGCTAGCACACTGAGATACCATGCCGCAGTTTAACATGAATACCCAACTCAGACACTGAGCCGACCAGTCCTTGTTTTAGCCCCTTAATGCCGAGCGCCAGACAGGGTAACAACAAGTACCATCTTTTAACGTCTTTTTGGTATGACACGGCTGGGGATCGAACCCCGGACCTTCTGCTCTCCGGGCGGACGCTCTACCATTAGACCACGGAGGCGGTCCTGCAAAATTATATAATGGGAGATGATGTGAGCACAGATACGATCTGTCACACAGTAATCATCTTCCATTAAATCAATGAGCCAGTGAGAGAGTTTATCTACCTATAGCACTGTGATAATTAAGTAAGGATAAGATATATGAATGAACAACTTCTTTATTACAATTAGGAGCCACTTTCGGTGTAGGTACTAACACAGTTTTCAAGCAAGTGATGTGAGTATGGTTGACAAGCGTACATATACATGTAGGAGGCAGTGTTTATACAGTCGAGTAGATTGGATGTAGTTACGCTGGAGTGGAGAAGCCTGTCATGTACACAAAAGGGGAAACATCTTTATTGGAGAAGCCAGTTGTATAAACAAAGGGATTATGACTGACCCTTTGAGTTGATGGTCACAGGGGGTATGTAATAGCCTTGATCCCGATTGATTGATTGGTTGGTAGGTTGGTTGGATGGAAGGTAGTTTGGTTGGTTGGTTGGTTGGTTGGCTGGTTGGCTGGTTGGCTGGTTGGTTGGTTGGTTGGTTGTGCATGCTTCTGTAGATGCTCATGTGTTAGTTTATGTCCCTCTCCCTGTTATACATGAAAGACATTCCAAATACCCCCATTAATGATTTGGATGCAAGGTGTGATGTGACCTCTAATGGGATGTCCTCACTCACTCACTCACTCACCCACCCACCCACCCACCCACCCACTCACTCACTCACTCACCCACCCACCCACCCACCCACTCACTCACTCACTCACTCACTCACTCACTCACTCACTCACTCACCCACCCACCCACCCACCCACTCACTCACTCACTCACTCACTCACCCACCCACCCACCCACTCACTCACTCACTCGGCATTCAGAAGATACCGGTATGAAACAAAGACTGGTCTGTTCAAAAGTCAGTTTACTGTGTCTGAGTGGGGTATCCATGTTATGTGGCATGGTATCTCGGTGGGTTAGCACTATAAAACCAACATTAGTCCACACTTGTACAATCAGCCACACACATGTGCATGCTCATCACAATATAAGTACAGTGATCTTGAATGCAGCATCACATCCCATTTTCTCACACCTGACCTACAGCTGTATGCTGAGAGTATTTCTACACTCTCATATCTCACTTCAGGTTGTCCCTTCCGACACTGTGATGGCGACTTGCTCAGACAGAAACTAAGAGCCCAGAATATTTCCAAGGATGCCATTGATGAGGTAATATTGATTTGTGCATGTCAGAAAGATTTAGAGAATAAGCAGTAAACTACAAGGAATTATGGATTATCTATTCCGATTGAATTAATTTTGTAAATGCAGAGTTTGTTGTTTGTTTGTTGTTTAACACCGCACTCAGCAATATTTCAGCTATATGACGGTGGTCTGTAAGTCTGGACCAGACAATCCAGTGATTGACAACATTAGCATCGACCCATGCAATTGGGATCGATGACATGCATCAACCAAGTCGGCGAATCTGACCACCCGATCCCATTAGTCGCCTCTTACGACAAGCATAGTCGCCTTTTACGGCAATCATGGGTTGCTGAAGACCTATTCTACCCCTGATCTTCTCGGGTCTGTAACTCCAGAGCCTGGGTGGTGGGTGACCACAAATTTGTTAAAATGTGATGGCTTCCCCATAAACACCCCCAGATTATGGACCATGCTCCATTGCAAAGATGTTTCAGCTGAAAAGGAAAATATTCATTCTCATCCCTGCATGATTCTTATTTGCGAGTAGGTTATTCTATATATTACCAGTGGGTTTTTTTAATCTGAGAAATGAAGAAAAATGTGTGTTTCTAATCACAAGTGGAGACAAATAGTTGATCTATTGTTGTGAAACAAGGTCACATAAAGCTGTCTGTGACATGTACAATGGATGCAGTCATGTTTAATTTTTCACAATAACGATTTAATGATAAATAATTATAAGTGTGTTTGTCAGGCGCTGTTTTCCATCCACTATGTGGTTGCTCAAAGCGCACTTCTTACGCTGGTCAATGGATCAGTTTGCACGCAACAATCATTCTCAGCTCCATGGGGAGTATACAACCCAAGCTACCTGTGAGGTGTTAGAATGTTAGATGCCATCTCATCCTACCGGGTACCCATTCACTTCTGAGTGAACAGAGGCATCTTGCAAACAACGTCCCTTGCCCAAGGAGACACCACTTCAGTGTGGGGCAGGACTGAAGCTCTAGAAACTCTCAGGAGTCAAGCTGCCGAACACTGTCACCCATCCTGTTACATCGATTAAATGTCGCTGCACGTCAGAAATTGAGGGAAATATGATAAAATGTTCATGTTTTATCCATTTGCTCTTTATATTAAAATATACTATTCCAGTTTTGATAGTTATTTATATCTTTCCATGATGCACAAACATGATTCTAATATGTCAAGTTATATTTAATTGGAATGACATATCTGATTCTCCCAATCAAAAGTTCATAACATTTTTATTAGTTAAATTCTGGGTTTTACCTTGTCTTTCAATAATTAATATTAAGGGTCCTTGCAGGCAATATGAGGGTCCTGTGAAGGAATGAAATGATGTAGTGTACTGTACATTTAGATGATTACTTCGGAGCTTGGAATGAGGCAAATGATCGTGTTGACAGTGGTCATGATTGATGGATGAAACGGCAGATGCCCACAACTGGTTTTGATGTAATGTTGATGCAATGAATATTATTCTGCATCCATCGGGACAAATTTTTATTTTTTTTTCTGCATCCATTCTTTTACATTTGTTTTGTTGTGAAGGCTTTATAATTATCCTTAACGAATGGGGATGCAACACACATAACTGAATATGGAAAATATGCATGTATGGTATCATGTACAATGTTTCTGTATCATTGTCTTTCCAGATATCCAAGTTTGCAAAGGAAGGTCACTATCAGTTAGCATGTGGGCGATACTTCGATGCATCTCACAACATTTCTGGGGACAATGTTGAAACAAGCATCAACCATCCCAACCAGTACTTCGAAGAGAGTCAAAACATACGCAAGGATGGGGGAAAGAAACTAAGTTAGTATTTTCACTATTTTTGAGTACTTGAGCAATATTAATGAAATAGACAAGCCATTACATTATCGAATACTATACAACATCTCCTAGCAGTCAGTCACATTGTTCCTATCTGGGCACTTGGAACCTCAGGGCACTGGTCTCCCAGTCTTTTTTGGAGCTATAAATAGTTTGTCATGGTTGCAGCCCTGAGAAGTGCCAGGATCTGATGTGGTTTGAAACCTGGATTTATCCTGATTGTGGTTCCGGCTTTGTCAGCATGCTAGAGTGTCAAAATCGAAATGCATGACTTGGGCTTTTTCCCACATCAAGAAGACCTTTGATATAACTTTGGTACTGTTCAAAGGTGATTTACACCAACACACGCACTTAAAATGTCCCTATTAGCATGATTAGAATTTAGGTCGTATATATTCATGATTAATCTTTGTACCTATTTTGATGCATCTTCCTGAGGCAAGGGCGTTAACTGACTATAATAAAGTCCAGATTCCACCCTTGCCAAACTAGGCTGGAATTTCCAGGCTTGATCGTAGAGCCACCAGTGGCTAATGCGAGTTATGTCCCTTCTAATACTGCAGTCGACTGAAATCTGTACGTTGAAATCCATGCTGTTTACAAACCGGATGTCTAGTTCGTTACGCGATTTTGATTGCACTTTGCATAGACTCGTTAGTCCAGCCAAAATGTAACTCCATAATTGCAGCCTAGTTCGGCAAGGGTGGAACCTGAACTTTTACAGTCAGTCAACTCCCTTGCCTCGGGAAGATGATTTTGATGAGACTTGTTATAATGCAACCATTTTTGAAAATATATTTATAATTTGTTGCAATGTTTGTACCACTTTTCATAAATATTAGCATATATGCTAAACTTTGTAATTAATATAGTGTTCATGTGAAATCACTTATTTCATTAAATCTTTACAAGAGGAAAGGATTTTTCTTGTGCACTTCTTGCACTGATCATGGTAAAGTACCGGTCATGAACTAATCTGTCCAATCCTGTAATTAAATATTACTTGACATGAGCATCAGGCAATTGTTATTTTTAGCCCCTGCATCAATGTCTTCAATCATCTTTTGCAGACACCCCTAATCCTGGTAGGGTCATTCGGGTCAGCGCATCTCAGAATTCTCAGGCTGTGAAAACTGCAAGTCAGCTGACAGACACACAGAACACTGGTCTGGATGAAATGGAGGATGATTTTCCCATGGAGGAATTAGATTCAATGCTTCAAGAAACTCAATAATCCTGTAATTCTACAAGGTTTCCAGTTAGGAAGCACTGTACATTACATAGAAGTAATTATTTATGGACTAAATTTTGACAAAGCAAGCATTTATCGGGACCGTTCAAAGGCTGATATTTGTCCCCATTCATGTTTAGTTATTCATGTTCTACCTTACCTGGTGCAACACAGTGCTTCTGCTTCCCTACCGTCACAAACAGACTATAACAGCCCACGCCTCGATTCCCCCCGAGGTATCCACCTTGGCCCATGCTCCCTCATATCCTTCTCCATCTGCCTACACGACAGATGTGCTTACAGTGAACTGAGACTCACCTCTGATACTTTTAAGTTGATTCCTGACGGATGTTCAATGTTTTCCCTTGAGTATATCCTTCCGCTGACATATATTCCACTTCTGTGCGGTATATTTTCTCTTTTTCCTGTTTTCCCGAGCAAAAAACAGCGACCAAGTACCTCAGCACTTTTTCATGTCAAGGTCGCCATTTCGTGGGTTGCGTTGAACTCTCTATTACAAATAATAATAAATCTCTCATATATTTTGTGGACGGTCGGGTAGCCTAATGATTAAAACGTTTGCTCGTCTCGCCAAAGATCCGGGTTCGATTCCCGACATGGGTACAATGTGTGAAGCCCATTTCTGGTGTCCCCTGCCGTGATATTGCTTGAATATTGCTAAAAGTGACGTAAAACCAAACTCACTCACTGGCTCTCATTTATTTTCCTTTAAATTAATTTTTTTTCACGTTTCGTATTATATAGGTGGGATATGATTGTTGCCTGGTTTGCACTGTCTACACTGAAGTGGTGTTTGGGTGCATGGTTCCACACGTTTACTTTTTGATCATTTATGGCAGGAAAGGGAAAGGGCTATAGTCTGTTTCAACTGTCTCTCTGTTCCAGTAGGGGGCACGGGTGGCCCAGTCGTCTAAGGCGTCGCGATTCGCTGTGGAGAGTTGCGTCCCTTGGTCGTGCCAGAAACCTATGATTGTGGGTTTGAATGACGGTTCGCCCCGATTATGTTTCTAGGTTTGTCAGCACCATACCCGTGCTCATGGGTTTCACCGAAGTGGTAAACGTCTGAGACCTGCATCACTTCAGGCTTTCCTCCCACATTAAGCTGACATGCCGTGATATAACTGGAATACTGTTGAAAGCGGCTTAAACCCAACTCACTCACTCACTCACTCTGTTCCAGTACTGTCTGTTTGTAAAGGTAGGGAGGGAAGCTAAAGCAGTGTGTAGCGTCAGGTAAGTATAAAAACATTGCATTTGTCACAAAATGCTCATTATTGCATTGAATGAATGTGAAATATGTCTGAATTTATGTAAATAAGAACTAACGAAGCAGCAATAGTTGGGAACACTAGATAAATTCCTGTAATGGTCATAGTGTAAATAGGACTCAGATCGCACGTAATTTTAGAGTGCTTATGTTGTGTGATGCGGATATTGTGTCATCATACCCCATGGCATGGAAAGTGCTCAGGCTATCAACCACTGGTTTGTCTGATCCAGGTGTGATTAGTAACAGAATGCTATCTGTTTGACATGGCTGGAATGTAGTAAACTACGGTTATAACGAACACACTTATAATAAACTGAAGGATATAACGAACTTACTTTTTGGTCCCGACTACTTGCTGTAGTCATGCTGTATATGTACTTATAACGAACTACGGTTATAACGAACTAAAATTAGTAGTCCCTTTGAGTTCGTTATAACCATAGTTTACTGTAACTGTTCTATGAAAACTTTCCTTGATTCTACCAAATTATAAGGAACCACAGCCATGCAACTATTTCTTGTTAAATTCTGCTGTTGTACACTGTATATCTTCTGTCTACAATGTCTCATTGCAATGAAGTAAAGAAAAGTGAAATAAAAAAAATGCTGTCATATTGTCATTCATGTATTCATCTAAACAAAAAACCCAAAGACATATAGTTAATACCATCATTTAATATACTGAGATGGCCTGAGATTAAAGTTACAGACAGAATATTTTTTGGGTTCCATGTTCACATGTTTTTTTTTAAAAACAAATGACATGCCTATGCACGTATTTGCATGAATATGCGCGCCTTTTTTTGCAAAACACCTGGTATCATCACTATTTAATAGTTATTCATAAACACATCTTTACTAAATAGTTTGAATGGACTTTGCTTTCAGAAGAAATTTATTATGATTATAAATATGTTTTTTGCAGCTTTTATTAAAAATATACAAGTCTTTCTTTGAGAAGAGGAACCGAAAATTTTAGGGTTTTTTGTTCACAAAACCTAAGATATCATGTAAAGAATATAGTTAGGGGGTATCCATGGACAAGTGACATATTTCCAGTTTTTGTAAGGAACAGCTTCTTTAACTTCTCAATGAAACTTTTTTTTCAAATTGCAGAGAATTTTAATTTACAAGCATTTATTTACAACAAATAGAGATTGGGGGCTAGTTTTTAAAACCTTCCAGTATTATTATCCCCCGCCGGGCTAGAATGGCCGAAGGGGGATTATGTCGTGGCGCAGTCCGTCCGTCTGTCTGTCTGTCTGTCTGTCCGACCCACAGAGGGTCCTAAGCTTGTGAAATCAACTCCTCCTACAGTTTCCAGAGGGGGCGGTCGGGTAGCCAACTGGTTAAAGCTTTCGCTCGTCACGCCGAAGACCCGGGTTCAATTCCCGACATGGGTACAATGTGTGAAGCCCATTTCTGGTGTCCCCCACCGTGACACCAATATTGCTAAAAGCGGCGTAAAACTAAACTCACTCACTCACTACAGTTTCCAGAGAATATCCCTGACTCTACACACAAGATGTTGACATGTTGATGATACGCATATCGCAGTCCCGTTTCATTTCGACAAATTTTGACAGAGTTACTACCCCTGTTTCACGGAATTTCATTTGCCTAATTGTGAGAGAAGGTAAGTACTAAGCTTGTGAAATCAACTCCTACAGTTAAGATGTGCACATGTTTAATTTGCATAACTGTGAGAGAGGGTACTGTTTTTGTGATGTCAACTCCTACATTTTTCAGGGAATATCAGAGACGCTCTAAACACATGCCGCTCTACACACAACATGTGTTATTTATACACATATCGCAGTTGCTATAGATTTGATTTATTTTAACAGAGTTACTACCCTGGTTTATGATCCTCATTTTGTCAACTGATACAGGTACAACTTTGCCTGGGTAACAACCATTAGAAAACATTGTCATTTAGTCTCTGTTGTGAAAATGTCACAATATCTAACTATAGTTAGTTTCCTTGTATAAGGCTTTTGTGGGGAGAGCTACATCCTTATGGCATTAGCATTCAGACTGGATTACTCCCAACAAAATGTTCTGCACAATTTGGTTCAAATGCAGTGCCATCTACTGTTGTTATTTCATAAAATACAAAGAAAATATATACGCGTTAAAAATGCGGGGGATGTTGTGCTCTCAGAACACTCTTGTTAAAAAGGGTGTGGTGCAAACTGTGACAACAAAGTTCTATTTTCAGAATAATATTTTATCATTTGTTTGTTGCCATGGTTTTAGTGAACATTCTCCTACATAACATCGATCTATCTGTCTGTCTATCTTATCTGTTAACATTCTGTCATACTGACTGTAACCCTGGCAACTGGTGACAGTTTTTTTTGTGAAAATGAAAACATTTCCACCATCCCACTTTCTGACAAAGAAAATAGTAAATCAAACTTCTAAAAGGTACAATTGAATTTTTGAATTTTCATACTTTGAAATATTTATTGAAGTATGTATGGTCTGTTTTGTAAATCAATATATCATCAAAGCAGTGTTAGGGATATTAAAACGAATAAGAAATTATTAATGATCTGAATTTGATATTTATATATTCTAAAGTGAGTGGGTTGGGTTTAACACCGCTTTTAACAGTATTCCAGTTATATCACGGCGTGTTAGCTAAATGTGGGAGGAAAGCCCGAAGTGATGCAGGTCTCAGACGTTTACCACTTCGGTGAAACTCACGAGCACAGGTACGGTGCTGACAAACCTAGAAACATAATCGGGGCGAACCGGGATTCGAACCCACAATCATAGGTTTCTGGCGTGCCCAAGGCAACTCTGCACAGCGAATCGCGGCGCCTTAGACGACTGGGCCACCCGTGCCCCCGTTTGTGCGGGAAGTGTCTTGTGAGTTGACTGGGCCATACATCATTAAAGCAGTGTTTGATATTAACACAGAATAAAATTATATTTTCACCTCTACCAGCACAGTTCAAGAGGCAAACCTTTTATTTATCCCCAAACCTGAACCTGAACCTGAACCAAATCCCTCTTCTACAAACTCTTAAATACCGTATTCGACGTAATAAGCGCCCACGGCGATATTTGTTAATTTATTGACAAGTGAACAATCCCAATTACCACCCCTTCCGATTGATCAATGTACACAAGACTTATCTATTCGTGTATAATACGAACTCGTGGGTTATATGCACTCTTAATTATGGGCAATTAAATTCTATTAAATATATCTGTTGTATATAAACAGTTGAGGCTGTCAGCATAATCCTCGAAATTGATCTTTCAACTCTGTTTTTTTCCACCAAAATAATATTCTAATAAGAGACCCCTATTTCTAATTTTGAGAACGCCCTGGGCGCCTATTACGTCGAATACGGTACTCAGTATCCTATAACACCACGTGTCCTACTGGTGCAACCAATTGCCCTCCCCTACCAGTCGTCTCCTCTAGACCTCTAACAGAAGGACCTCGGGGCATTCAGGGTAAGGAAACCGATCCCAAGCAACCTATGCCTATGGAATTGTTGTTTTGTTTGTTTGTTGTTTAACGCCGCGCTCAGCAATATTCCACCAATTTCCCACCGGCGGTCTGTAAATAATCGAGTCTGGACCAGACAATCCATTCATTAACATTATCAGCATTGATCCACGCAATTGGGATGCGCTGACATGCATTAACCAAGGCAGCGAGCCTGACGACCCGATCCTGTTAGTCGCCTCTTACGACAAGCATAATCGCCTTTTACGGCAAGAATAGGTTGCTGAAGACCTATTCTATCCCGGATCTTCACGGGTCGGAAAGGCATGGACGAATCCATATAGATCAAAGGTGGTGAGGTGAAATGGGTTTTAACGTCGCGTCCAAGATTATTGCACTTATATAGCGACGTGCATGTTCCATATTAACCAAAATGCGCAGATGTCATCTTGGTTCGTCAGGAGCCCCAAAATGTCCACATTCTCAACACACATTGAGGGGAAAGCCGATGACCGGAGGACGTATGGCACTGTCATTTGAAGAAGTTTTTTTTAATTCTATGATTTCATGCTGTTCTCTGAATGGTGACATTTTGATTGCATCCATCATTACTATACATTTCTTGCCATGAAATTCCTGATGATCGAAGACACTTAAAGCTTTCACACCACGCAGAAAACCAAATTACCAGCGTGTGATACCCGGAGAAGAGGATCTCGATCTAAGGAATGCATTAACCTTTGACCATAGTAAGCCAGGTTCCTTTGTCAGTTCCATTTATTAAAGATCAGATCTCGTAGCCCCATAGGTCAAATACCCACCCGGACATAGTCTCCGAAGGATAAGAGCATCACTTGGATAAAATAACCAACAACCTTCTTAAGCAAAAAAATAAAATATGTTGAAATCAAACATCTTTTTTTTTCAACATTCTATCATCAACACGATTATTATGCCAACATCAATCACCAGTTTGTTGGTCTGTCAGGGATCCGCTTGAAGATTCCACTGATGAAGGTGTGCTTGACCATCAAGCATACCAATAAAATGTTTAGTTAACTTAACTATATCTCCCTGAAGCCAGCTAACCAGCTGTGTTTGGCAGAAAATTGCAAGATAGAAGAAAAGTCATTTCTATGATTCATAATGGATTTTAATTCTTGAGATGACAAATCAAAGTACATTTCATTCAAAACAAAAGCAAATGTTAAAAACAATGGCAATTTCTCTAACTTATCTATACAATTGATTTTGTGTTGTATTAAACTACAACCTTCCGTACATTCTATTCAGTCATACACCTGGAAGTATAACAAGAAGAGTTCCACAACTGGTTGTATATGTACAAATCAGAACATGTCTAAACAACCTTCAGTCGCATTTAATGTTCAAAGCAATGCCACAATGAAACTGCATCTTAAATGTCATCTGCCACAAAAGGCAAATAAGAAGCCGGTTGCCTTTTCCTCAGTCTCGGCATCACTGGGATAAACAGATTTGAAGACCTTCGCCTCGGATGCCTGTGAATAGGTTCAATGTAGTGCACATTTTCTAAGTCGGAATCACTGTGATCTGCCCAATGCACAGAAAGCTGTTTGCCACGACGCGGTGAAGAATAATCTGACATGTAGCAATCCGAACTTGTCTTTTTCGAAATCCCTGAAGGTTGTTTTCGCCGTGAGGTACATTTGTTGTTTTCTGATATACATGGTAGAAGTGGGACCTTGGAAGCCTCGGTAGTTACATCATAGATCTTTGAATCTGTTGAATACTCACAGTCTTTTGGTGAACCTTTTTCACATCTTTCCATAAAAAGACGATGTATTTCTGTCCCGCTACTGGTTGTATGTTTAGATCTGCGCTGAACACGTTTCGATCTGGTAGAGGGTTTGACAGTGGTATGCAATCTTTGCCTTTGAGATATTGTTGTAGTCATTTCAGAGTTGTACCCTTCCACGAGAATCCTAGTGTGATTGGATTCCTCAATGATAACTTCTTCTTGTCCAAGGTAAACATCAAGAACCGTCAGGTTTCGTTCGTTAAAATTCATGCTTGGAAATAATTTCGTTTTCATTTGTTCCTCACTTTACTCTGTTTTTCTAGAAGCCAACCTCGTGTTAGACTGCACCGTCTGT